GAGGAGAGACCGGTTCTTCACTATTAGAATTTGCTATTTTCGCTTTATCTATCCTATTTCTTGGTGTTCCAGCCCTTTCTCCGTGCATGCAGGAGAACAATAATATCCAGCTGACCACAAGTATAACCACGGCAGGATTCTTCATGAGTAAAATCTCCGACGCCCGCTAGAGCTTGCATGCAGAATGCATTCTCCTGAGCAATCATGTTGCACCGCTATATCTCTCCATGTCCATCCAATCTGCTACGCTCGATCCACCTTCTTTCGAGCAACACACACAGCCTTTGGCATCGACAACCCAACCCCCAGCCGTGACTCCTCCGCCAATCCCCTAATCATCAAATCAATATTATGCGCGTCTTCCAATTTTCCTGCACATTTAAGGCGAGCTGAAAACTCCTCCATGACCAGAATGTATTGGTCCCCATTCGCCTTCCGCAACTCCACCCGGTCCGTATAGTTGCATAGATGCGCATCCTCAAACCCACCATGGCGCGTCATCAGATGATAGGGGAGATCTAGGACCCAGTCATTGCGCCCATTTGACTGTGCAAATCGCAGAAACGCATCATGAGCGGGAGTGGCCACGTCACTCATGGCATTGCCCTTGACGACCTCGCTGTCGGGGTAGTTCAGGTCGTCCCACTGGATGTAGCCGCCTGGCTTGAGCATCTGGTGCGCCTGGTTGATGATCGGGAGGGGGTCGCTGTTCTGCACGACGAGGACGAGCAGGCGGAGGTGGACTACATCGTATTTGCCGCGGAGGTCGCTGGGGACGGTCTCAAAGATGCTCAGCTGGTGGAGCGTAATGGGTGGGGGAAGCCATTCGGGAAGAGGGGCGTTTGCCAGATCGATGTCAAAACCATCCAGTCGGATCGACGTGTACCGGATCACTGCAGGATCTCGGAGGAGGTCCAAGAGCCAGATCGCTGTGCCCGTAGCCAGATCAGCAATCCGGACGGGCGTGGAATCATCCTTGGGCAGCTGGATGGACGGATGGAGGTTGAATTGGAGGCTGTCTTTCCAGAGGTAGAATTGGTAATTCAGTCGGGATGCCGCGGTGTAGCTTCGATCGAGCATGTAGTCGAGCTCATTTCCGAGGTTGAACCCGGACTTGGTGATGTTGTCGATTTTGGTCATGTTGGGTTTGGTATATAGGAAATCTTGCAATGGGCTTCCGTTACTTGGGGGTATTCTGTCTCGACAGCCCAGGAGTCACCCTCATATCATGCACTATATATGTACACATTCCCTGCATCTTAATGATTTAGTTAGTCTATATTACGGCGCATTGCCCTCAAAAGTATGATTATTCCAGCTGAAGTGCTAGAAAAAAAAGTCAGCATACGTGTCACATCGACAGCATTGTGGTAATAATAGACGAACGGGGATCACATTTCGTACGATTTGGCGCCCCACTTGAGTCAATCCTAGGAGCGCCCGGCCGAGAAGACCATTTGGGAGAGTAAAGGAAGCTAATGCATTCAGTATTGACATTGTCGTCCTGCAGCTATGAAGGAAGAGGACTTGGGTGGTGCGCTACATATAATAAGCCCTCGCGTCTTGCTCGCTGGGCTGTATAAATCTGAAGCTCACTGACAAACACTACCATCATGACGATCAAGAACCTACGACTTGGGCTAGCCATTGGCCATGGTACAGGCCGGGAGCTTATTGCGGTTTTTAAGAAGGTCATCCAGGCGTTGGCAAGCAAGCACTCTCTACATGTCGAGTTCATTGAATCATCCCGCATATACCATTCGTATCATACCCTCACTGTTTCCGGGGAAGAGAACGACCTTATCAAGCACATTGCGGACGAGACCACGCAAGATGCCGACGAGTATCGCGCTTTCTGCGAGACAGCTGCAGCCAATGGGATTGCTGCAATATTCCGCACGGCAATCCACGCGCAGTCTCTCTATCTCGTTCGGGATCAACTGAAGGCCGTCAAGATCGAACATTTTAACCTGGGTGACTCTAAAGCCCTGCTCTTCATTCGGGATGAAGCGCAGGGCTTCTACGCTGGTGTCAATGAGTATGACAATGCCAACCATAGCATCACACGAAGCAGCCCCTTCAGTCGCTCCACCTTTGACCAAATCCTGGCATATGCTCTGGAAAGAGCCGCAGAGGAGTGGGGTGTGGAAAACGTCCCCAAATCAGTCACGCTTGTTTACAAGTTCCACCTCTTCGACGGGGTCTTCCAAGCCTGGGCACCACATTGGAGGTCCCGCTTCGGAATCGATGTCGACTTCATCCAGCCGGACACCATGAATCGGAATCTAATGGCCTGGGGCGTTCAGGGCCGCCGCATCATCATTGCGGGCAACGAGTACGCCGACATCATCCAGCCTGTTTTCTTGAAATGGTTCGGCAATTCCACCATTGAAACCATGTACGCGGAGAATGTGTACTTGAGCCCCAACCTGCGTCGCCTCAGCGAGTACCAGACGGTGCATGGGTCTGCGGATGCCATCGCCGGCCAAGGCCTAGTCAATCCGTTTGCTACCATCCGCGCCGCGGCTGCCATTCTAGAGCGGCATGGAGGATGCGCTGGCGCTGGATTCCAACGCCACACGGAAAAGGCGATTGAAAGTCTCCTCATGAGTCGGCTGACCACTCCTGACCAGGGCGGCTCGTGCAGCACAGACGCGGTAGTCGAGCATTTTCTGCACGCGATTAGGGATCCTATGGCTCCCGAGACACCTGTTGTCCACAACGATACGGCGGCGTCAGCACTAACAAGCAATGCCTGGATCGGTAAGAAGTCCGCCGTGGTGATAGTAGACTACCAGAACGACTTCATCGCAAGCACGCCTAGCCCTGCCGTGTCAGAACTGTCCAACACCATTCCCCGGCTCATACAATGCGCCCGCAAGGAGGGGCGCGAAGTCATCTTTGTGCGCTTTTTGGGAAACACCAGCTTTCAAGGACCCAGCTGGAAACACCGGGATACATTGCTCGGAAAATCGGAGAAATGCGTCGAAGGCACCTGGGGAGCGGAGCTTGGCCCGGGCATCACCTCTGCGCCTGGCGAGCGGATCTTTGATAAGAAGGCCTTATTCGATCCGTTCCTCGTTCCGGAGTTCTCAGAGTATATAGCTAAACAGGGCTTGGAGCATCTGGTGCTGGCCGGATTGTACAGTGATGTCTGCGTTGATGCCACGGCTCGGACGGCGTTCCAAAAGGGACTGTGGGTCACTGTTGTTGAGGACTGTACCGCTGCTTTGCATGCTGATCAGGTCAAACATTTGAGGTTCATGGAGAAGATGTATGGGGCACGTGTTGGGAAGGTGGCCACGTTGTTTGGGGTGAAGGCTTAGCTGAGTCTTTAGAGGTGTCGGATGTGACTTGGGATTGAGTACGTCGCTGTTAGGCTAGACCAGAGCGCTCGAAGGTCGAGGTTGGCGGAAGCGTGTCCTGTGGAAGAGTTGGGATCTTGGGAGAAACGCGTCGTGGCGACCTGCTTTCTCGGCTAAGCTATGGGAGCACCTCAATGCTGACCCGGCCCCAGTCTTTTGCCGTTTTAGGGTGGCTGAATTGTCCTTAATCTAACGGTGGGGTAATACTATGATATATTGCGTACATGCCGTTAGTAAGCTCCGCTGGAAATCACTCTTTGTTAGGTAGAGATGAATTTCTGGTCTATATACAGAGTAGAACTGGTTATACTTGCTCAGGGGTGACGTGCATCACATTAGGACTGCTATGGGTTATAGGTAACTAACTGCTGACATTATGCCAAATAAATAAACTGAGTAACTGTTATACAAAGGATCTTTTTTTTACCTGTTCCTCCAGGGTCCAGGGAATGGTAGTTAGTGGACTTGAATAACTAATAGAAGGTCACACTAGGAAGGCCTAGTTGGCCATAAGTAAGAATTACAAACTGTGTGCTATGCACCCTACGTCTTGGGAGGTAGAGTATCTTTACTATCTTTACTCGGGTGGTTCTCTAGGCTAAGGAAGTATGAGAGATATTCCTCTAGTAATAGGTAATATCTATAGGGAAACCCTAGGGTATGTTTAATATTTAGAATAAAGTAAGTATAGATAAGTTTAGGCTTCTTCATAGCACACATACGTTTCCCCGGAGCCGAGCTGCTAGCTTTCACCAATCACTTAATTGTGGTTGTGTGCAGAAAACCAGCCTTGTAACATGGACAAAGCAAACGCCAAAGTGGATCGTAACTTGGGGCTTAGGAATTGCTTATATAACATTTAGTTGTACTTCATCCCATCAAAACCGGCCGGGCTAGCTCAATCGGTAGAGCGTGAGACTCTTAATCTCAAGGTTGCGGGTTCGACCCCCGCGTTCGGCTCTTCTTTTTGCCCTTTTTTCTCTGTTGGACACTGTCAGCGGAGTTTGACTGGAGTAAAATGCAACCACTGTGGATGATTCTTTTTTACTTGCTGTCCATGATAGAAGCAGTGGTGGTCTAGATCCTGCCCTCAGCCCCGTGAGTAGTGGTTATTGCTGTTCCAGATGCAGCCTGTGATGGCTGGTGGTTGCCGTGCCCTAACAACTCGACAGCCGGATATATTGACATGTATCCATCAGTGCGCTCTCCGCAGTTACCTATGTCTCTTTACTGCAGCAAATCCGTACTCCACTTGACAGAATATTGCTTATACCTAGTAACATAGTAGATCTAAGCTTCACTTATTGCATTAGATGTGATCCCATTTCCAACTGGAACCCTTTTCAAGTAGCTTAGGCATGTTACGATTCTCAGTATCATTCAGCAGGGCTCATCACTAATTTTCACTCAGTCATGGGAACACTCGACTCCAAAGCTCATTTTCTTATCACGGTGCCAATATGGTCCATGTGAGACATATAGCCTAATTGCCTACAGAGCTCATGAACCATTCCAGAACTGAAGTACCATATTTCTAGTTTTGCAGCTGCAGATGATATGGAACTCTTTCGCATACAGGAGTAATGGGTAGCAAAACCAAGACCTAGAACTATGCACCCCATACAACACCATCAGCTATCTACTTTCAAGCCAGCTCTGACCAAAGCCCAACCCCCCGTCCGGAAAGAAAGAGTCCCACCCAAAGTCCGGCCCAAACCCTTCCATCCCCGCCGCCACCAGTCCCGCCTCATCAGGCGACGCCATCCGGCTCGAGCCGGTGTCCTCCCTCGTCGCCAGCAGATTATCGCACCACTCTAAGCTATCCCGCGCGGCTCGCGTAACCCACACTTCCACATCTCCCCCCGCCTCGACCGCCTCGGCCTGCGCGAGAATCATACTCAGAAACATGTGGCTTTTCACATTCGTCTCACCCAGCCGGATGCGCTCCTCAGAGAGCGCGATGAGGTCGCGGACAGCCTGCTTCAGGACGTCACGGTACTGGCGCGTGCGGTGCAACGTGCCGTTAAGGCGCTGATTTTCGATATGCGCCAGCAACTCGAGGCTGATGGCCGTAGTGGCGCACCGGTTGCCCTCGCGGAAGAGACCCCCGGCTGTAGCCATCAGGCGGGCAAAGCCGGGGTCCGGCTCGGGCGAGACCATGGCGAGGGCGGCGTCGAGACTGAGCTTGAGCGAGTAGTGGCAGAGGGGGTTGGTGCGCGCCTGGTTGCTGAAGGAGTAGTGCAGGGGGATCATGAACCGGCGGATGAGGTAGTCTAGCAGATTTCGTTGGAACGGGGTAGATCCGTTACCGTCTTTCATTTGGTGAGTGCATGCCTGCAGGGCGTTGATTAGCTCGGAGCTGAGCGAGAGGACTCGGTCGTAGGAGATATCGGAGTGGAGGCCGTTGAGGAGCTGGACAATGCGGAGGCGGACGGGCAGCGATTTGATCAGGGCGAGCTGAACGGATGTAGCTGTGAAAGTGTCCTTGGGGTGGGGGTGGAGTTCTGTCGTTGACTCGCCGAGCTTATCGTCGTTGATGTTGGAGGGGGGCTCGGTATCAAATTCATCAAAGGAGATCCTTGGCGGCATCGACGAATCCAGGGACGCCTGGACAACCATTTCGAGAATAGTGTACCAGAGCCTCCGGCGTAGTTCGGCCTGCAGGACCGATATAACCGGGAGGTGCTTGGGGTCCCGGTGCAATCCGACTTGCATGGCGCTGTGGACAAGCGATCCGATCGAGATCCATATCGTATCGCCGCCGATTGAGAAGATCTGCCGGGCCAGGATACTCAAGCAGTAGATTTGCAGCCCGGAGATGTCCAGGCGGTCCTTTTCCAGCGGCCCGGAAAGCCAGGTCTGAGCGGCGTAGATCCATTGCTGAACCAGGTCGATATTGCGAAGCGCCGCAGCTCTGTCCCCATGATCGTACAGACTTGATCCTATGCCAATGACGAGCAGAACTTTGAGGCATAGGCCAGGAGCCGCCCCGTCTGGGTTGTCCCAATATCTCTGGTACTCGTGCCAGAAAGTAGGGACGTGAAGTATCCGATGCCTGCATGTCTCGCAGATTAGTACCCTCCTAGTCCTCCCTCGGAGATATACATACGTCGATTCAAATGATGTCAAGAAGAGATCGGCCATTGCATCAGCCATCTCACGGGAAGGCGGCCCAGATCCGAAGCCCGGCAAAGGGAGACCTCTGGTGGGCCGGCAGGTCTTGATGCTCCTTGCTCTATTCTTGCATTTCCGGAGCAAGTCACCAGCCTGCGAAATCAGCGCCGAGGCTTCGGGCTCTTGAAACAAGTCGTTCTTGCTACGCCTGCCAATGATCTCACTGTAACAGGCAATGATGGCAGCGAATTCATTAGCCGCTCCCATCCAGCCACTCCTGCCCCAATCTCTTGACTTGTTCAGAACGGCTTGCCACTCTTGCGGCCCCGGCGACTGGCGCGCATAGACGTCGTGAAGGGGAGTGTCACTAGTCCGGGATCCCCTTGCTGAAGATTCTTCTAGCTTCTGTACCCGATGCAGAAGATCACTGACAGTGGCCCCCAGGTCATTGCGGTCAGGGGGAGGGGCCGTTGCCGCTGGTGCTGTGACCCCGGACGTGGATGAGCTGCTGCCCTGCAGTGGCACCGAGATGTTCCCCAAGTCCGCAGCTTGAGCGACTTGTCCGGGAGCCGAGCTGTCTGACGGCGGCCGGGGGCTGTCGGTATGGGGCGGCGACTCATGCTGTTGGGTACTCACGGCAATGAGCTTGTCATTCAAGCCATCCGTATACGTCTTGTATATACATTGGATCTTGTACCGCAAACAATTTGCGCACGGGTTATTGTGATCGCACTTGATCTTGCGGCGACGGCATTCCTGACAAGAGAAAGCTGGTCTTCGACGGCGACGCTGCTGTGGCTGCGGCTGCGGCTGCGGCTGAGTCTCCATGAGGTAACTGATTACAATCTCTCTTTCTCCTTGTCTCTTTTCTTCGGCCGAATCATGTATCATAGCTGTAGTAGAGAGAAATCGTGTGGACGATGGGTTGAGGACGCGGAGAATCATTGCCTGAGGCAGGTCTCGGCCGAAGCCGCATTTGTCCATTATGTCCGTCTCTTAGAGCCGCTCGGCAGAAGCACCGGAGCTGGTTATTACTATGTACCGACAGTATAGCTCTTCCTGAGAAACCTTTGGCTATTAAACTGCTGCTTTATAAGTAATTGCAATACTGCGTAGATTTTTGGCTGAACATGGTGCTGTGAGCATGAGTCGGGGTATGCTGATGAGAGACGTCTATCAAGCGGATATAGAGTGTAGATCGGCCTAAGAGGAAGAAGACTAAGCAACGTACTTGACGCTTATCAGAGTACTGATGGCTGATCATCTTTTATCTGATCGACTGGAGAATCAGGGGTGGAAAGGGTCGAAGGGGAATATTCTGATCTTATGGCCGTACCAACGGACGTAAAGCGACCTCAACGTCCGCGGAAGACGGAGACGGCGCGGGCAGAGATTAATATATAAAATAGATCTTGAGTCCGCTGATGGCATGTCATGTCCGCTTTGACCGAAGCTCTCGGGCCGGCTTATACGGGAAGAAGCAACAGCTTTGACGACAGACGGAGATATCACGGCACTCGCATTGCCATGGCTCGTCGTCTCGGCCTTTTCTGAATACCTATAAGGCGTCGGTACCTCTCTTATTGCAGCTGTACCATCATCGTTCCATCGAGCGAGTTCAATTCATACCGTTGCCAAAGAATCATGTCAACTGCAACGGCATTGGGTCATTTGGGACCCAACGGGGCGCAGAACGAGCCGAGTCGGTTGGAGCACACGTCTGAAGAGTCCACAGCCGACGCCTACACCGAAGCAAAAGACACGCCAAAATCGATGGTGTCCCGACACCCCACGGTGCAGCAGCTCGCACGCGAATTTACCCGCAACAGTTCCCCCGATTCTAACGGCAAGCCGATCTTCGGGAGCGACGACCCTGATTCTCCCCTGAACCCGGCCGGCAACAGGTTCAACGCGCGCGAGTGGGCCAGAAATGTGGCCAGTGTTGCTGAGGAGCAAGGCCTGGACTTCCGTCGAGTCGGCTTGTGTTTTCAGGACCTGAGTGTCTTTGGCTATACCAGCGCGACGGACTTCCAAAAGACTGTCGCGAATATCTGGCTGGCCCTGCCGCGCATGATCTGTCGTCGTCTCCTGCCCAGCACCAGCACGTCGGGTCAAACACGAGTGGACATCTTGCAACAGTTTGACGGCATACTCCGTCCAGGCGAGATGTGCGTGGTCCTGGGTCCTCCGGGGTCTGGTTGCTCGACCTTCCTCAAAGCCATCTCGGGAGACCGGAATGGCATCTACGTCCACCGGAATTCATACTTTAACTATCAAGGAATCTCGGACAAGGAGATGCACTCTGCGCATCGAGGCGATGCCATCTATACTGCCGAGGTCGATGTTCACTTTCCCATGTTGACGGTTGGCGAAACCTTGACATTTGCCTCGTACGCACGCTGTCAGAGGGAGTTGCCAGAGGGCATCACTCGCAAACAGTACTGCGAGCATCTTCGTGATGTCGTTATGGCCATGTACGGCATCAGCCACACCATCCATACCAAGGTTGGAAACGAGTTCGTCCGCGGAGTTTCCGGAGGCGAACGCAAACGAGTCACAATTGCGGAGGCGACGCTTTCCAACGCCCCTTTTCAGTGCTGGGACAAGTGAGTAACCCCTGACCTAGGCGGAGAACAATGCTAACGGCTGCTACCAAACCCAGCTCGACGCGCGGCCTGGATGCGGCCAATGCAGTTGAGTTCTGCAAGACCCTGCGGCTGCAGTCGGAATTGTTTGGCCAAACCTGCGCGGTCTCGATGTATCAAGCACCCCAGAGCGCCTACGATCTATTCGACAAGACCCTGGTCATTTACGAAGGGCGGCAGATTTACTTTGGGCCTGCGTCCCGGGCCAAGGACTACTTTATGAGACTGGGGTTTGAGCGTCCAGCTCGCCAAACCACGCCCGACTTTCTTACATCCATGGCCTTTCCAGCGGAACGAATCGCTCGCCCTGGCTGCAACACACCGCGAACGGCGGACGAATTCGCAGCTGCTTGGAGACGGAGCCCGGAATACGAGGCTCTACAGCGTGAGATTGAGGATTACAAAGCTCAGCATCCGATTGACGGCCCGGACGCCCTGATGTATCGACAGCTCAAGAAAGCGCACCAGGCCAAGGTTCAGCGTTTGAACTCGCCATATACTTTGACGTACCCTCAGCAGGTCCGACAATGTATGTGGCGAGGCTGGAGACGATTCTGGGCAGATCCCGGCCCGTCGATCTGGGTCATGATTGGGAACGTCATCATGGCGCTCATCATGTCGTCCTTGTTCTACAATATGGACCAGACGACGGCCTCTTTCTACGGCCGGGCTGTCGTTCTCTTCATGGCTGTCTTGTTCAATGCCTTCGCCTCCATCCTCGAACTGATGACATTGTACGCGCAGCGGCCCATTGTGGAAAAGCAGGCCCGCTACGCTTTTTACCACCCTTCGGCTGAATCGTATGCTTCTGTCTTGGTTGACTTGCCCATGAAGATTACTGGTACTGTTTCCTTCAACCTGGTGTTCTATTTTATGACAAACCTGAATCGGCATCCTGGGAACTTTTTCTTCTACCTGTTGGTGGTATTTCTCATTGTTCTGGCTATGTCTGGGGTCTTCAGATTCATGTAAGTTGCAAGGCTTGACTGTATCGAATGATGACTTGGTCTAACAATTTAGCGGCGCGGTGTCTCGAACAGAACAACAAGCTATGGTGCCTGCGTCCATCCTGATGCTTGCTCTGCTCGTCTTTACAGGCTTCGTGGTCCCAATCCGCTACATGCTATCGTGGTGCCGGTGGATCAACTACCTGAACCCGGTGGCGTACGGCTACGAAGCGCTGATGGTCAACGAGTACCACTCGCGCAACTTTACCTGTTCTTCCTACATCCCAAGCTACGGAACGCCTGGTACGACCACCGTGGCCTGTGACGCTGTCGGCGCCGTGCCAGGTCAATCCTACGTCAACGGCGATGCGTACATCAACTCAGCCTACAGCTACTACCGCAGCCATCAGTGGCGCAACGTTGGCATCATCATCGCCATGGTGATCTTCCACCATATTGTGTATTTTGTGGCCAGCGAGTACGTCACGGCTAAGAAGTCCAAGGGTGAGATCCTTGTCTTCCGCAGGGGGTTCGCCCCCAAACTGGCCAGTAAGCGCAGTCAGGATGTCGAAGGATCACCCTCCGGTCCAGTCACAGCTTTATTGGAGAAGCCCGGCAATGGCTACGATTCCAGCACGGAGAAAGGCTTCCAGGGCTCCACGAATGTGTTCCACTGGAGCAATGTGTGCTACGACATCAACATCAAGGGGAAGCCTCGGCGCATTCTGGATAACGTGGATGGCTGGGTGAAGCCTGGGACATTGACGGCCCTGATGGGCGTTTCGGGCGCTGGCAAGACCACGCTGTTGGACTGCCTTGCTGATCGCCGCGCTGGCGTGGGTGTCCTCACCGGTGAGATGTTGGTTGATGGAAAACCCCGTGATATGAGCTTCCAGCGCAAGACCGGTTACGCGCAGCAGCAAGATCTGCATCTCGAGACGAGTACCGTCCGTGAGGTGTGTCCCGCGACCGCTCCAAGGCCAGCAATCTTGGTTTGATTCATGTTACTGACCCTTGCTGTTCTGCTGCAGGCTCTAAATTTCTCTGCTCTCCTTCGCCAGCCAGAGAGCGTCCCAATGGCAGAAAAGCTGGCCTATGTCGACAAAGTGATCCAGCTGCTCGACATGCAGGAGTATGCCGATGCGGTTGTGGGCGTTCCAGGTGACGGTCTCAACGTTGAGCAACGCAAGCGCCTGACGATTGGCATCGAACTGGCCGCTAAACCACCGCTACTGCTCTTTATTGACGAACCCACGTCAGGCCTCGACTCCCAAACAAGCTGGGCTATCCTCGACTTGCTGACCAGGCTGTCGAAAGCCGGCCAGTCTATCCTTTGCACTATCCACCAGCCCTCTGCGATGCTGTTTCAACGGTTTGATCGTCTGCTCTTACTTGCGGAGGGAGGCAAGACGGTTTATTTTGGTAGGTTTCCTCTCAAGGGCCTTGATATTCGGGCAGACCTGACCTATACTTAACCCAGGTGAAATTGGGGATAATTCATCTACCCTCATCGATTACTTTGAGCGCAATGGCGCCAAACCCTGTTCACCCGGCGCCAACCCGGGCGAGTGGATGCTAGAGGTCATCGGTGCCGCACCGGGCAGCTATTCGGACGTCGACTGGCACGAAACGTGGCGCTCCAGTCCTGAATACCGCAATGTCCAGAGAGAACTCGCCCAACTGCGGTCCAAGAGCTCAGCGGCCTCGTTCGCCGAGGGTACCGACGATTCCGCTTCGTATGATGAATTCGCGACCCCCATCTGGTACCAGTTCCTCATAGTAACAAAGCGCGCCTTCCAACACACATGGCGCACACCGTCATACATCTACTCCAAACTCCTGCTCTGCACCGCCACCAGCCTGTTCATCGGTCTGGTCTTCCTCAGCTCCCCACTAAGCATCCAGGGCCTACAAAACCAGATGTTCGCCATTTTCGAGCTGATGAGCATCGTAGGACAGCTGGTCGACCAGCAATTCCCGCACTTCATCTCGCAGCGCTCGCTCTACGAGGCCCGCGAGAGACCCGCCAAAACATACAGCTGGAAAGTGTTCATGCTCGCCCAAATCCTGGCCGAGATCCCCTGGTACACACTCGCGTCGGTCTTTATGTGGGCGCTGTTTTACTTTCCCGTCGGCTTCTACCACAACGCCACCGCCGCCGAGCAGGGCCCCGAGCGCGGCGCGCTGATGTGGCTCCTCTTCTGGGTCTTTTTGGTCTGGGTGTCGACGTTCGCGCACCTGTGCATCTCGTTCGCCGGCTCCGCCGACGACGGCGGCAACATCGCCAACTTCTGTTTCGTCCTGGCCTTCTTCTTCTGCGGCGTCCTGGCCTCGCCGGACCAAATGCCCCGCTTCTGGATCTTTTTGTACCGCGCCTCGCCGCTCTCATACTACGTCTCGGCTGTCCTCTCGACGGGCCTGGCGAATGTCAACGTCACCTGTGCCAGTAACGAGTTTACCACGTTCAACCCGCCCGCAGGCCAATCGTGCGGCGCATACATGGCGGAGCATATCACTACGGCGGGTGGCTATCTGCTGGATGGGAATGCCACGACCAACTGCCAGTACTGCAAGGTCAAGGAGACGAATGTGTACCTGGCGGCTATTCATGCGGACTATGGTACCAGGTGGCGCAAATTTGGTATCTTGTGGGTGTATGTTCTTTTTAATGTTGTGGCGGCGTTGTTCTTGTACTGGGTTGCGAGGGTGCCAAAGCGTAAGAGGCTGGCAGGGTAGGTGGGCACCTCTTTCTGCTATCATGGTAGATGGGTTGTATATTAGTCTATGAAGCTTTTGAATTGAGGATCTCATTCATCTCTGCGGGACATCTGTTGTTATTATACGGGAATCATTGGCACCATCATAGGGACTGAGAAATCCATAAATAATCACCTTGTTGCAGCGTGCAGTTGATATTATCAGCGCTAGGAACTAGTGGTCACAGAATGAGGCTTCTATTCTAGACTAGTTGTAATGCGCACGACACTTCCCATGTTTGTGTCCATGTTTACGGTGTCCTTGATGACCGGGCTTCTGGCCGGCTTCAGTAGGACGCAAGGTCGGCTGAGGGTCTGCAGAAGCTGCAGGAGTACTTGTTTCAGGAGAAGAGGCCGAAGGAGAGGACTGAGACAGAGGAGTAATGCTTCCAGCGATACTCGTAGATGCGGCTGATGCCGAGGTTGACTGTGCGCCAGAGGATACCGGGGTAGAACTCGAACCGGCTGTACTCTGCGGTATAGCTATTAAGGTCGCTTGACCAGCCGGCGCAGAAGCAGTCGGCGTGCTTGCCCCAGACCTTGCAGCCGCGACATCCGACTCATCCAGGCGATGTAGCAATGAACCCCAGCCGAGTCCGTCATAATGACCTGATCCCTCGCCCCAGGACCCTGCGCCGCCCTCCGCGCCCTTATAGTAGGTCAAAGACTCGTTGAGGAACAAGGTCGTCCAGGGTGCGTCCATTCCTTTGATCATCACGTAGTGGCTATGCAGCAGCTCCCAGGTAGGCCGCATCGCGCCGCGCGACGCACTGCTGACTTCCGTGAAGCTGACGATGCCGTTGGAGTACGGAACGAAGGGGACGTCGTGGCCCAGATTATACCGCGCAAAGTACTCTATTCTGTGGATCCGTCAGTCATAAGTGGAAGAAGACGTGACTGAACCTACTGACCCTTTCAGAATGCGACTATCATTGAACGCAAACAAATCCTCGCCCTGGTTCCAGGCCTGCTGTCCAATCACAGCAAGTAGCTGAACATCCAGCGCCGAATGGCCCTGGTCGCGCCCGGCCTCCTGGCCCTGCCCGAGAGCCTTCCCTGTGCCGGGCTCTTCGACAATATCACTGATAGCATTATTGATGGCGCCGTTGCCGTCCCCCTGCTTGAAATAATCCACCGCAAAGTCCCATACCGTCTGGTTCTCCGTCAAAACGCCCATGGCCATCGCCGAAGCGACATTGCACAGCTCCCAGTTTGCAAAGAAGTGCAGGATATTGTGCTCCGATGGCTCCTCATGCCGCAGCCACTTATAGTGCATCGGAATGAAGATCTCGTTGGCCATATCGATCACAGACGGAAGGACATTCTTTGCGAAAGGCTCGTAGTCCCGGAGAAGCTCGGCGGCGTTGGCAAGCTCGTACCCCTGCAGTCCAGCTGTCAGGTACTTGTCATCGCCGCCGCCGAGGGCAGTTAGCGTGGTGGCCCAAGCATGGAGGATGTCGCTAGCTGCATCGGCGAAGCTGGTGTTGGAGGAGATCTTCCAGCGTAAAGCGAGATTGAATGCGGCTGCGACGTCGTGCCACAGGTTCTCCGCGTTTGCGGCGTTACCGTCCGAGGCGCCCCGGTAGACGACGCTGACTGGCGAAGGGGTGTAGCTGGCGTCAGAGAAACGGAGACGGGTCAGAGTGTTCCAGGAGGTGGTCCATGGCTCTGCGTTCGCTTTGATCTTTTGCTGCGCGCGAGTGATGTCGCTGTCCGAGACGAGAAGTCCGGGGTGGACGAAGCTAGAAGCAAGAGGAAGCAAGGGAATAAGGAAAGACAGATTAACAAGCATTGTGAAATGAAGAAATGAATGACAGTAGTGGGAAAAGAAAAGAGCCAGCTTCAGAACAGACAAAAGTCGAACAAAAGAGAGTGGTTGAAGGAGAAAAGAGGTCAATTGAAAGAGCTTAACGCGGACGAGCCATTGATAAGTCTGTGATTAATTACTCTGGAGTAGATAGACGCCGATAAATTAACCGAGTAGATTAATTAATTCTAGTTCAATGGATAGTCTCATACAAAGTTTATTCAGCGGCATGCGTTCCTCGTCAACATGTGGGGAGATGAGCAAGGATATCTCCAAATCAACCTGAAACACGGCCCCTGTTTCAACGCGGCCCATTTGGCCCTAAGATCGAGGGTTACTGGTATTCCACCAATAAATATGCCAACAGATCTGAATAGGATCTGAGCGGGATCTCAAGGGTCGAGCTCTCGGAGATAAACCGAAGCTATTCACACTAGAGGGAGCTTAGACTGGGCCCTAGCTCTCCCATTATTCATAGTTAGCCCTAACCCATAAACCACCGTCTATACTAGGCCCACTTAAAGTTGCAAGGACCTTATCAGAGACTATTATACTTGAAACACGTGGAGTCTGTAGTCTCTCTACACTAACTTAAGGTTTTGGTGCAATATCCACAAAGGAGAATGTTAAGAACATATAGCACAATCGCAATCCTATAGAGAAGACACTGGAGACATAATACTGTAAAGAATCAATTTAGATTGCGAAAATCACAGGAATTATAGGTACGGCAACTTAATTAATGTTGGTGAGAATTAGCCTGCGAGACAAGTCTTATAGAATGCACATATCATAGCTAACAACCAGCTACGCTAGTAGACAACGCGCCAGTCAGTTAAGATCTCTGATAGGTGTCCCGCTACAGCTCATTACAGTATTAACCATATTAGTGTGGCCCTAGGGTGCTCCCTAATCACCTTGTCCATACAACAGAGCACAGGTTCTAAGCCGTCCTTATAGATGAGTCTATATTCAGATGAACACATGTCACTGGCGGGTTCTGGTTTCAAGGTCCTTAACATGGTTCTCTAAACCTAAGATGCGTCCTCAATTTCATCTTTCAGGTGTTTTAAGGCTGGTTGGCCATGCTTGAGGTCTATTTGTAAATGGATTGATACTACCTAAACGAGAGATTAAGCAGACAAGCCGAGAAGAATCTTGTGTGCCCTAATCCTTAGTCTACGGCCGGTCTCCATAGTTTCAATACAGCGCCTTGCAGGTTCTGCTGTACATTGTGTACGCTCTTGCTCTTTGTCATCGCCACTACCGCAGCCTAATATATACTAGGTTTAATGTCTTATTGGCGTGATTTACATAAAATATTAGGGGCACAAATACAGAGCCAGTGATATCTTGCCGTCTTATGATTTTGCTGAAGTTGCTAGAAGGGCCGCTGCTTAGCAGCGAACTTTCAATGGAGAGACGCTATCGGTGGAGCAGTGCCAAGCAGCAATAATACAGCTCATTGACGTTTAAGTTTGCGTTTGCTTCCCCCCCCAATGGGACCCATTGGTTAAAGTTCATTTCGACCTCTTCTTGAAAAGACGCTTAACGATATTCTTGGCATTCTTGCCTGAAGTGGTGGTGCCGCGCGGTTCATTGACTGGAGCAAGACTAAGACTAGAGACTGCTCCGTGAGTCGATTCGCTGCTGGCTGGCCGGAGACTTGACCCTCGGCTGAGGGACTCATCGTGAACCGAGGACGATGCAGCACTCGACCCGAGGCCGCTGTCGCTCTGGCGGGATGACCGAGACGTCAGCTGGGGCGGCTGTAGATGCCCTTCTGTAGGGACAGAGCAAGCCTCCCACTTCCAGATTAGCGGAAATTTCACGCTGTGCCCAAAGATCACGGCGCCATGGGCCGGGAGCGGCTCGGGCGGACTGCGGAAGCCACGAGCAAAGAGTGTGGGGAACTTCGTCGGCAGGAGAACCTGTACACGATCGCACTGCGTCCCGCCTGGAGTAGCTCTGCAGTGGCAGTCCTCGAAGACTTTGTCCGGGCAGTGCCAGTATATACCTGTGAATAACTCCCAGAGGCGCTGTTTGCTGTCGTGATCTTTATAAATGCCCTCCATAATGTCCCGAATGACGGGGGTGGTTGTGGCAAGGAGATCTTCGCCCATCGGCAAAGCAGCCCAACGGTCACATCTAGTTCCACCCTGCGGAGGGTTTACTGCAGGACCTGACCCGGCTGTGTCCCCATCGCCTCCCCCGCCAAGAGCACAATCTACAGCAGCGTCTACGGGCTGGAGGATTTCTCCAAAACCCACACCGAAGAGGGTGATTGCGTTGATAGCCCTAACGAGATCAACCCATCCTAACCCGGTATCACGAAGCAAAGCCGCTTTAGGCAGAAGCGGGTCAGTACCGGCCGCTACCTGCTGGAAATCCCAACCTTCGAGGTGTCTCCTCGGGGATATATGGACTTTGGCTCCGAAGCCGTCCGCCGTCAATATGTCGGTCTGGATGTCGAATAGCATGCCCAAAGTTGTATAAATTTCGCCGACCAGGTCCGGCAGTTGTTCCCATGTCTTCTGTGTCTTGTGGCTCGTCTCCGGCGGCTCTTCTCCTTTTCTACTTGTCTCTTCCACAACTCTATTCCATCTCTCGTATATCTTGAGGTCCATATTGGCTCTATTTCGCAGCACGGCGTTTGCAGCAGTCTTTCCCATATATGGAGTGTTGGGTTCTTTGATGTCACGTTCACTGAAGAGGACTTCGCGACCAACTTTTCTGCGATGGGCTAGGTGGGCGCGGACGAGGTGCAGCAGGGCACTCAGCCCATCGATGAGCCAGGCACGCCGATCTTTGCAGTCATAGAGCACGATGAATCGCTCCTCAGCCCACTCAATTTGTTTGTGGTAGTCGGTCTTTTTTGCTGCTCGTGCCGGCTTGTCCTTCTTGCTGATTGCCACCGAGGCGCCCACGCTGACAATCTTTCCAGCTGATATGGACACACGATCAAAAGCAAACCGAGAGCCGGGCTGCGGAAGTCCTGTTCTTTCTATAGCATAACTAGCTTCCCTGGAGCCTTCATTAGTGACTGTTAGCACAGACCTGATAGCAACATTGCCAGGCTACGGTTTGAGCAGATATGACTTACCTGCGTAATTCCGCACGTGTTCGCACCAGCCGACAATGTGGCGCGCACTTTCGACGCCGGAAAGCGTCAGATGTTTTAAGAGATCAAAGTCCTGGACGATTTTGCGAACACGGAAGTCTGTCAAAGAGATCCGGCTTCCGTTTTCGTTAAATAACACGTGCCAATGCACTGTGTCTCCATCATATTTCGTCGGAACCACCATGGTACAGAAACCTTGAAGAAAGACCTTCCCACAGAATACCACGATGCGTCGGGTCCCCAACAGCGCGGCTAGCGTGGCCAGCGAAATCTCGAGACCGGGTTCTTGGTCCGGCCGACGACGTCGTACGGGAAAGCCGAGAACGACCACAGGGTTTCTGAACAGGTCTTGCCAACATTGGCCAGTGGATCGCAAGGGGCCATCCGAATATTGCGGACGAATAGTAAGTCTGCACGTCTGGTCACTGGTTTTGGTGCCGTTGTCGATGGTAGGGGAAACGGAAGCGACTAGGTCACCTTTTGCAGAACGAAGTGCAACGGTTACAAATGCGAAAACTTCACCAACTTCAACAATTGTTTCTGCTACGCCCACTGCCTCCAAAGAGAAACATCCTGAAGGCTCCACCCAAGATGTGACCCTCGTGTTGTCGAACAAAGTCACTGAACGTAGCTTAGTTGGCGATCAAAAATGTCATACTTGTGTAGCTCACCTGAGCACCGCAAGCTTGGTATACTCCGCACCGTATGTTTCACTAATCCCATGAAGTGTTCCCCGAATAGCGGCCAAGTGCGGCCCACATATTCCGAACAAGGCATCGCCTCTACATCTCCATTCGGGCCTTGAACAATTACAATAGCGCGTTCAACCGCGTCTTCCGGTTCTTCCTTGTATTTCTGGTCGCGAATAAAGGCCAGGGGATCCCAGTCCGACTGGAACACCGCTGAACATTTGGGAGGCGCTTTTCGGCTGCTGACGAGACGGCTCTCCCGCCGGGAATACAGGGCCTGGCGGATCTGTGTCGAAATGGCTTTCCAGGAACTGGCCTCTGATGTTGTGAGGCTGGCCTCTCGGTGCAATCGACAGAGCAGCCACTGAAAAGCAGTGGAGTTGGTCACAACATTCCGATACATCTCTAACTGAGAATTATCTAGGGTGTTTTCGTTATCGTCGTTATTGTCGTCACCGTCTAATTGGGCATCGTCATCCATGAGTGGCACATCATCTGGCCGAGCTGCTGCGGAACTTGGGTCGTCCATTTCCTGGTCAAAGCGCCACATGCTCAGCCGCTCGTCTAGAGACATGTCATTTAGCTTTCGCTGTTGCAACGTTTCGATGTCATCCAGAAATTGCTGCCCGAATGATGTGGCAATATCCCTGTGGAAGAGTTAACTCAGCATCTAAATGGACTCAGCTCCTACAAAAGGTTAAGGACTAAATAATTAGCCGTTCGGCTGTCACTCACACTCGTCGCTTATATATGAATTTCATAACCTCGAAGTGACCAGAGGAATGATTTTCTCCGCCAATTCTCTGGGCAAACCCTCGAAGCAAATCAGGAAGGCCATCGCGTATCCTTTCTAAGGACTCGGCGTCTGGGAGTTCTGCGCCTCTGAAGAAGCTACTAACTAGTTCCTGCACATAGGCCAGAGATCGGGGAACATCGGAGGTATAAATTGATTCATCATCCGCCGAGTCCCCGTCCATCTCCTGACCTCCCGGGTCCACTGAAGTCCCCGCTGTCGAAGCGTTGACCGTTTCCAGTGCGTCTCCCCATGACTCAAATCCTCGAGACAATACGGAGCTTTCTGTGGCTGTAATTTCTGCCATCGATGGCGGATAGGCTTCGGTTGGCACTTCCCTTGTTGGATCTGTTCCTTTAGGACTCCCGTGAGAATATTTTGCCATCGAAGTATCCCACATATTGTCCTTCCTGGGAAAATCCTTGTCCATGCTGCGGATGTCTTCTCTGAGTGAGCTATAGTCTTGCGCCCCGCGCCGCATGATGGGATATTTACGGTAGACAGGCATGGCCGATAGTAATAATTTTGCATAGGCGGCTGCTGTCAAAGCTGCATATCCTCGCCACTTTCCGTTTTTGTGGGAGTCGCAATAATCGCATATCCCTCGAATCACAAGAGTTGGAAACTCGTCCATAAGGCCTGCTGCCTCCATCTCGAAGCAAAGTATCCCATTTTGTTGAGCTAGATGGTCGCGCATTTCTGAGTTCTTCATCACCTGATTCCCCGAGGCAATCGCCCCATAGTGTATGTAAGGCGTTCTTGTGTCACGCAGTGGTCGTTCGACTAATTGCTCTTTATCACACTTTTCACAAGTATCTTCGTTGTCAACGTGACGATAGGAGGAATGGAAAAGAAAATCTGTATGCTCCTTTGGCGGAGAAAATATGTCTTTCAGGTTGTTGTTCTGTTCTAACACTTTCCACACTATTCTTGAAACAGCACCATCCGCCTCAACAATCTGTCGTGCCTGGATTGAAGTAATCAACGTCAAAAGAGCCTGTGGTAGACTGTTTAAGGTCCTTGTCGGCTCAACTGCCTTGCCGTAATCGTACTGTATCACCCCACTGTGACTTGCACCTGGTGTGCCGACAACTACATCGCCTAATCGAATGTCATTGATTCCTCCCGGGACACCCCCTCCAATCCCCACTGACAGTCCAAACCGAAGCCGAGGGAACGTTGAACGCATGCGAGACACGAAGGCCGCGGCAGACACTTCCCCTTCCCCATAAATATCATCCGGAAGGTTGGCAATGATTATGGAATGCCCGGCTAGGCTGCCAAATTCATAGGCGTTGGGATCAATAGCAGACGACTGAGGTGGGGTGTCGGTTCCGTCGAGCATGGCGCGGGCCGCTGCCGCCTCCAGAGGCAAGGCGCAGATCCACGCGATGGTGTAGTCGTCAGGCTCGAAGTAATCCATCATCAGTTATCAGAGGGACCGGAGGAATTTATGGCCTAGATTGGTTGAAAATTCGTGTCGCAGGTATAGAGGTAATCCAATGGCGTACGGGGAGTAAATGAAGAAGCACTCAGGTTGAGGAAGGAAGAGGGGTAATCAGCTTCACGTCCTACAAGGCTGACACACCTTAGCCAGCCAGTCATGTAACTGTGCTTATTTAGCTATGATTCTATGCACATATCCATGGTCATTGATCACATAGGAAGCGTATCCGTCAAAGGCCATACTCATAGCAATTTTAGCACACTTCTTGACCACCCAAGAAAGTTATAGTATCAGAGAGTACTTCCTCGTCTATGAACATAAAGAAGTTGTGGGCTGGAGCAAAAATTAATACCTCCAATGAGCTGGTTCCAGATTTAGTAAGGTATTGTCACAAATAGCATCTAGCCAGTTAAGGACAATGACCCCCCTGTCCAACCTGGCTTCTGCTTTCCCTCCTCAAGTAGCAATCATCTCGTCTCTTACGACAGCTGATGGTATGAAAGTAAATACGATAGTCATCGAGGCAGCATAAATGGATATACGGAGGATTATCTCTTGATTTTGCAGTAGGAGGTCTCCTTATCCTGAAAGTGTTTTAGATAGACAAGAAGGTACACCTCGTGCATTAATGCAATAATCTGCTCTCTTGTTTCTCAGAAAAGGAGTTAGTATTCACTGTCAACAGCTCGATTTTGTCCAGTTTGTATCCAAGACCATGGTTTACTATTTGACTCCCGCCAATCAAGGACACTCCCCTCCACAAAACAACGTGGCTTTGTTCCACTTCCCAGGAAAACTACCTAACATCACTATTTATATTTAGACAAGATGGTATCCATTCTCCAGCGAAATTTGAGGGGTGTGGCGCCGAGAAAGAGCCAAAGAGTGTGGAAATTACGAAAGCTGAACCTGTAAGGCACTGTATAAACAGCCTAACACATCCGCACATCCATACCAATCCACCAATCCATACCTTCGGTTGCATCCGGTCGAGTCTCAGCCCAGTACACCGAACTTCACAACATACTTACACGGCAGTCGGCTCCTCCAACGTCAAACTACCCGGCTGCTCCAGAATAACCAACGGTCCACCAACGACACTCTCCTCCGTGGGCGCATCCCGACTATCCGCAATATTCACCACGATGATACTTGATTTGGGCTCAAACCGCGCCGGGATGGTCGAGCTGTTCGTCTTCCGTTCAAACGGCACGCTGACGGTATTCAGGCCGTGATAGAACACAGCATAGTACTCTGTGTCGTCCTTAAACCGCGGCTGTTGTCTGCATCCGAAAACACAAAATGGATCTTCGATCCCGGCTTCGCGGTCGTACCGTTCTTGCTGAACGCCAGCAGGGGTAGATCCTGGCGGGGATTGGGATAGACAGGGTTCGCCTTGGGGCAGGAGCCGGGGACGACAAAGGCGTTTGTGGTGTCGAGGATCTGGTTCGCGTAGGGATAGACGGTGTCTGCGGGGCCGGAGAAGGGGCTGGTGTTGAAGACGTCAATGAGGGACCAGACGTTGTGGCGGGTTTCGACTTGGCCGATTGACATGAGGGCGGATTTGGAGATGTTTCGGTTGGCCTGACGGGAGAGACCGGTGAGGAAGGCCATGCTTGAGACTTCAATGTAGACTTGCAGGGCGAGAAAGGTCTCGAGGGTTGTTTTGTTGAAGCCGAATTCGTATTTGCAGGGTCCTGGTTTGAGCGAGTGGTTGGAGATTTGGTCCTGGAAGATGCGGAGGTGGCCTGCTTCGTTGTCGCGGATTTCTGCGATTCGTTGGTACGTAGTGTTTGGGAGGCCGAGGTTAGTAAAGTCCGCGGATGAGAAGACCTCGACGGCTTGTTGGTAGAAGGAGTAGATGATCCATTCTGCGCTGAGGAGATTCTGGAATAGCACATCATCCGGGGCGGGGGATCCGTTAGGGGCTGTGGGAGGAATGACCCGGGGGTAGTTGGCTGCGAGTGGTGTCTTCTTGCCTGTATAGGTTGTAAACAAGTATGACTCTCCAGGTACAGCGTCTTTCGCGGATTGAGGGGAGTCCCCTTGGGTGGATGTGGTTGGTAATGCAAGGCATGGAAGGACGGATACCGCACTGGCAACTAAGAGAGTGGGCAGATGCATGGTAAAGCCTTTAAGAACTCAATGTGATTGCTGAACTGGTAGTGTCTGCAGGAGATGTATTGAAGATGGGAATGTGATTGCTGAATGAGATTTGCCATGGACGACAGCAAGCCTTTTATATTGCTTGACAATCGCCTCCTGACGCGGTCGCAAGGCTGAGCTCAACCCCCATTTCGACGAGGAAAATCCTGCGAGCTTGCAAAGATCATATGTAATGACATCCTTCAAGGCGATGCGATGGGAGGCCTAATTAGCCGGCCTGTACGGAATATGCTGGCGGTGGATCCTTATTGTTAGAACGAGTTAAAGAAACGACCAATGGTGTTGAAGACAGCAGCACCAAGCTTTGCGTTGGATACACTAAACTGCATTAGGCTCATTGCGCGACCATAGATCTGTGATTGATAGGCTGGTGGCCTGCAGGCCAGATCCACAGGGCTTGCAGATCGCTCGCTCATTGAGCCCAAAAGGGAAGATGATTTAGGTGGACACATTCCTCGCCTGGAGCATATTCTCACGCCGACCGATCTCGAATCCATGAATGTCAGCAGTCACCGCCATAATCTTCTCCATCCACCTGGCTTCGTCCGACTCGGGTTCAAGATTACGATAAGCCACATTCAGAGGGAATAACAGCATGAATGCCCCGGAGCTCCTCTGCAGGCAGTGGAGATGGTAATTGACCATTCTGCACACCTCGATCGCAACCTCATTCCTGTTACTTTGTATTGGAGGAAGAAGGTCGCTCGGATTTGTCATAGAAGAATGGGGCTCGCCCAGGTTCAGCCCGAGTCCTTCCGCTGCCTTGAGCACGATAAGCAGCACCGAATCGTACACAATCAGCTCGTTGGCGCGGTAGGGGTCCGTGAACCAAATGACTGTTTTGAACGGGCTGGGAGGCAAGCCATCAGACCCGGAATTGCTTGACGGAATGAAGAACGCTGTGTCGGGGTTATCCTCTTGCCATTTACATCGCCACGAGTAAAGGATCTCCAGTATTGATAATGCGTTCTGGCGAACTTGGCCAAGGAACTCATCCCGTCCGGGTATATTTGGGCTCCATGCAGTTACCCGGTCTAAATTTTCAAGTAGACCCGGAATGTCGCTGAATACGTCGTGCAGGTAGTCAATTGGCGTCTTAGAACCTATTCGTCCAGCCCATGGAATGCTCTTCCAGGCAGAGCCTTCTAGGAAACAGCGTCTTCTCTCCACGATATACCCAATTGCCTATTAAATGTGAGCGCGTGATCCCGCAAGCACAACCGGATGCTCCCTTACAATACACGACCTGAGCGTAGGAAGAAGGGCGGCTCCAACACCAGACTGATGGCGATGCGGGCCTCTTAATTCTGTCTGTTATAACGACTTGGCAACCTCATGTTCTGTGGGCAAATAGATACTTACAATCCGCGTGAGCCCCTAATAATGCTGGAGCCAAGCGGAGGATTGAGCAAGCGCAAACCGATTCAAGAGTTGCAAGGCAGATTACGGCGACAAGAAGGTCAGATTCCAGGACTCGACACGGACATTCCAACTGCACCCGCAGGCTCTGCAGCGCCTGTGGATAGAGCCCTGCACCTTTCCGCACTAGGTCTGGATGAGTATGAACCTTCCCAAAGTACGTGGTAGCCAGGGCACGGAGCGAAGTCGTAGACAGCCCGGTGGGATCTCTGGGGTGCAGCAGCACTGTAATCCAAGATGCTGAGTAAGGGGACGCGTCATCTGTATGCCATGTAAAAAGACGATTGACTAGATGCGACACACAAATGTGTTGCTCATCCCATTGGGGATTGTTGTAGATGGAGTCTCCCGAATCCCGAGCTGCCTCCGCTCGAGGAACTGGCTGGACCAATGACCGATCTCGTTTTGCAGATTGGCCCTGATTCAAGCGTGTAGTTGCATCTATGAACTCGACGTGACAGACATAACCTTCGCAGTGGAACCCGCCTTCCCTGCAACGCTCACAGTAAGGTTTCGCTTCGTCTAGTCGATAGTTAGTATGCCATTGCCAGGGGTAATACAGTAGCGACGGACACACCGCATTTTACTTTGCGTCGTCGACAGGTCCTGCAGCCTTTACTTCGTCCGCCTATGTTCACCATTATCTTCTACGTGAATTCGATGATCAAGGGTAGGAGTTTATTCAAGCGCAGAGCTCCAGTAGCCGCTCTTGTTCTTCAAAATTCAGAATGAGACAATGCCTGATGACCTAAAGAGAAGAGTATCTACCTCATGCTTGCTCAGTACTAACGGCCACGCTGAGTGCATGGCTTGTGCTGACCTCTCACAGTGATACAATGCGCTGACTAAGCTCGTATAGGCTTGCCAAGCATCATCAGGTTTTATTCCCTGATTATTCTTGGACAGTCGGACAGTTGGACCACTTTTGGGCACTTAAGTAGCTCTGTCCCATGGCTGACCATCTTCGTAACTCGAGACCATTCATGATGGATGCTACCTCTAATCGCAACATGTCCAATCCACTTTTGCTGCCGGAAATCGTCGCGTCTGTCATCGACAATGTCCACCTGGTCCCAGATATCTTGAACTGTGCCTGTGTAAATCGCATGTGGAGCGTGGCAGCTTTGAAGAAACTATACAGGGGCTCTCTAAATGACATGCAGTGCCGCACACCTGACATTGGATCACTAAATTCCCTCTTTGTAGCATCACGGGAGCGCTTCGCTCGAAACATGAGCTTTGTGAAGCATCTTCTCCTTTCTACAGACGCAATCGCACTTGATCAAATCGGACGAACGAAAACTGCATGCTACGAGAAGTGTCGCGCGTTGCGCCATCGCAAATATGCGAAGCTCCTTTTGCGGCCGCAAGGAAGTGGTCTTACCAGCCTCGTCATCCCTTTTGAGATCAAGGGCCAAGATTGGTCTATCATTTCCGACCTCCTTCTTACTCCCACCATTGAGTATCTAGCTATTGATAGATCTTACTGTGGGCTGGTGATGGACAGCCCCGGCTATCTCCAAGAACCGATCATCCCTTCTGTGAGTGTTGTCTGCACTGTTATTCTCTCCCATTCCCAAGAAAGAATGTCTGACTCTAGCTTGATAAGTTCACAAACCTCAAAGCTCTCACAGTTTACAAACAAGATGGTGGCTCAGAGATCTATGAGCTTTGCCAATTGCTTCGATGTTGCGATTTGCATCTCTTCCACCTTGAGGAAAGGGCTCATAGCCGTGCTGGACGCATGGAACAGACAGACCTTGCAGAAGTCCTGGGGTGCCTTCGACGACACCAAAATCTCGAGGCCTTGGCGCTGTTCGTCCGCCATTTTTCCTCACCCTTGGGATCAAGAAAAGAAGAGGGGCAGGAAAACCCATGGCCGAGGTTGAAGGCATTGTACCTTGCGATGCGGCCCCAAGATTGGCTACAGCTATTACCAAAGTTCAACGATCTTCAAATCCTCCGCCTGCAAGACGTCGGATCCGGGTTCCCCACTATCAACCAGAGTGTACTTCACAGAATTGCAAAATGCAGAAACTTACGGGTCGTCGACCTTGATTTGCGTGAGGTTGACGATGTAGAAGCACTCCTTGATATCGCGAATTACTCCCCACTTTTGCAAAAGTTGCGTGTGAAGGACGAACGATTGAGTAGGAAACATTACCGGAGAGAAGACCTGTTTTTCGATCTGCTGCGTGACCTGCCTCAACTGGAGTTCCTTGCTTTTGATGCGAAATTCGAGATGGATGGTGCAAAGCTTCGAGACCTTGCCCAGCATTGCCCGCGATTGGTCGTGCTTGACCTGCGGTACACTGAATTGCACCTCTCACTCGCGGAAATGATCAATTTGGATCCACTCTTCCAGTTAGAGACCATGACATTTGCAAAAATATACTTCAAGGATCCACCGCGCATGCAAACTGACGCTATCCAGAGCATTGCAACAGAGTGGCGCAGGATATTCCCAAGGCTGCGAGGTGTGCGATGTCTTACGGACCCTCCATATGGGATGGATGATGATTGGAGCGATTGGGGCGAGGAGTCAGAGACAAATAATGGTAGTGCGAGTTCCGATGACGACTCGTCAATCAGTGACTTCGAGGCCAACTTTGACCGTCAGTATCCTTTACGAAGAAAACTCTGGAGGGTCATTGGTTATGAAGAAGACCCGGATATTCACCACAAGATTGCATATACGTGGCAGACCAATCTGGAGATCAAGACGATTGGCTGGCCCGTGGTGCCTTTGGCAGCATTTTCCGATCCAGACACACACTCCACGACTGCTAAAAGCGACCAGTAACTGGAGTGTAGTCTGCATGACAGCCAGGATTGTATATTCTCTTATACTACCTAAGGTTTAGTGCACACAGCATCGCTAGGATGAATACCACTGTTGATACTGTATATACTACGCTAATCGCTTATACTGGGCCACTCTACAAGGCGTCACTTCCCGTTCCCTGGAGAAATTTCATCGCTCTCTCATGCTTTGAATCCCGGCACAGATACCAGTAATCCAGCCAGAATTCACGAGCAGCACTATGGTCAGGCATATACTTTCGTAACAAAGCCTTCCACTCCCTGTCCTCCTCACTGTCAGGAACAGAGGTACAGACATACTCCCACCACACGGGAAAGTATCCAGACGCCTCCCAATCAATAATCCCAACAAGACAGCCGCTTTCAACAATAATATTGACGTTCGTGAGGTCGCCATGCGTAAAGGTATAAGGCGCACCAGGCGGCATACGTTCTCGAAGTCGCGTGCGAGCATCCGGTGGTACAGATTCATGCAAGCCCTTCTCCATGGCCTCCCAGAGCGCATCATCAGACGGCAGAGGACCTTGAGGAAGATCCGACTGCCTATTATAGAAGAGGAAATTGGAGTAGACTGGCCCGCCACCGAGAGCTTGTATCTTATCTGACTGGAGCTCTCTCAGCTGTAGCAGAAACTCAGCCGTCTGCCTTGCTATATCCTCTTTCTCCACTGTAGTAAGCTTCGACCAAGCCTTGCTAAGAGGTTCGCCAGGGACGCGCCTCATCAGAATAAGTGTGTGGTCGTCTTCCTCCCACGACTCAACGACTGAGGGAACTGGGATGGAAGTCTCTTGCTGCACGAACTGGGCATTCGCTACTTCAAAGGTCGGACGACGAGAACCTCGATCTTTTAAAATCAGGTTTGAGCCCAGGGACCAGACGCCGCGGCCGCCTGCTTCGTAGAATAGTTTGACGTGGCTTTTGTAGCTGCAGTACTTTTGGCGTTCGGTGGTCCAGCTGCATGCTGCGCAGGGGTCTGAGGAGCTCATGGTGAGCAATATCAAGTAGAGAGAGGTATGTGGTTCAGGATGGATGAAATTGCGCTGATGTCCAAGGAGAAACCCGGGTAGTGGTCATATTTGTACCCTGTTGTACTCACCACACCGCCACTTGGTTTTCTGTTGCGCGGCTATGTATAGTAGCAAAACCTGGGGTGTCTTGTGTAACCTAAATATGGTGGATAATAAAGATGAAGAAATGGCCCTCATTACATTGACCTCAGGCATCCCTAACAAAGTCGAACTGAGAGCAGTTCGCACACCGAAATACCATTCCTGACAAATTTGAAGCACTCCATTTGTTACTTCCTGGCTATGTCAGGCGCAGATGGTGACCAATACTGTGTTGCAGGCTGCTTCTGAACTCATGTCTATACTCTATAATTCTCAGAACCTGTCTCAGCTTTATGAATCAACCACCGCAACAACCAGGGCGGATATCATTGTCTCATACGTCCACGCTTACAGATAGATTCAGAAGTGAGACATACCATTCTTAGGCAATTGGATAGTTGGACGACTTTTGGGCACTTGAGAAGCTCGTGACCTGTCCCATGGCTGGGAATCTGCTTTAATTTTATCTAGTCTGGTGTGTTGTCCCTACATTTCGTTGCTCCTTTCGATTTCCCTTCTCCACGCCCCATGTATTTGCCATGCTTTCAGGGTGCGCCCTATGCCCTACACCCTACACTCTTTTTCTACACCCACGCCTTATTCAGTGATGCAGCAGGCAGGGCATGTGTTCTTTTAATTAATGTGACCTAGGATGAATAGCTAAGTTTCCTCATAAATAGATTGATACTTCAACGATCTCTGTAATCACTTTCCCGCAAACTGAACCTCGATCAAGAAAGGCATGCTTGAGAGTCAATACAATAACCAGCACATTCACGCGGAGAAGACATCACGCAAAATGAGACCTGAAGACTTTTTATTACACGAATGGACTTCGGCATTATATTTGCAACCCGCGAGCAGGCTCTGGCAGTTGCAGGTCGTCCCGCATAGACTAGGTGGTCTCGTCGCAGTGAAGCCTTCGAAAAGTAGAAAGCCACTCGGGGTTGTCAGCGATGGTCTGATTCCACGAGTCCTCTGAGTCATATAATACGCGCCTCGACTCTTGCTGGAACATTTCGTCGGTAGGGATAATCCCCTGCTTCATCTGCTGCTGAGCATAGCGGCTCAAGTGCAGCGTCAATACCTGCGTGAAGGAGCTGAGCTGCGCCGGTGAAAGACCCGGCGCCAGAGTCTGGAGAGGCTGGCTGGGAGCCACCGTGGCAAGATTCAAGGCGGCTTCTTCTTGATTACCGGGCGAGTCCCAAAAGGCGCGAGAGGAAATCTGCGAAAAGTGGTCTCTTACATCTGAATTCGTTGCAGAGAAAGGTATGACACTCCGTGATTCTGGGCCGATGAGGTATGGCGGCAGCGCATTGACCACCTGCGCGGCGAATTCGGCAGGGAACTCATGCTCCCCTCGCCACTCGTTCATGGTAGCACCTTTTCGAAAATGCTCCCCTAGATGCTCGATGCGATGCTCCCATGTGCTCAGGCGCTGGTCACAGAATCCACACCGAGAGCTCACAGCGCTTTGTCCGATCTTCCAGTCATCCAGGCAGGGTGGGGGATCGGCATTATGCACCAGCCGTAGATGCTGCACCAAGTGGTCCTTGCGGCGGAAGGAACGGCGAGCGCCAGAGTCACTTTCGCAGGCCCTGTGGGCGTGTTGATCCAGATGCCGGGAGTCGGGGTCCACGGCGTTGCAGAATGCACAGTGACTTTTTAGCGTCACAGGAGAGTCAACTCTTGTTCCAAACGGCGCACAGTACCACGCCTCCAGATTAAGGTGTAAAGATTTCTCATGGCGGGCCCAGTCGTACTTGCTCTTGAACCTATCACAGCAAAAGGTGCAGCAGTACCGCCGTCGCTTCTCTGTCACGTCGCGATTCCGTCTCACGGGTTTATCCACCCGGCGCCGGCGTCGCCCAGTCTGGACCCCGGTGGAATCCTGAACTGACGAGCGGGATCGCACCGACTGCTGTGACGCCTTGGACGACCCGCTAGACTCTCCGCTGGTCGCTGAGGCCGCACGCCGATAGTGTCGGAACGCATTGGCAATGTCTGTCGGATCATCCGGGTTTTCATTATCTGGCAGTCCCGACTGCTGCGCAGGCGTCTGTTTCAATGCATCGAGAATAGCGGCCATCGACGCAGGCTCATCCTCAGGCGGCGACTCACGCCATCTTTCCATGGGATTTAGCGCGCTCGCATTGGGAATGACAATCGGAGCGGCCTCTCTTCCCGAACTCCGCGTTAGATAACGACTTCTGCGTCGAGGAAGCCCAGCACCTGGTGCAGGAATCCGGTTGCCTATACCAGAGGACGGGCCCGTACCTGAGCCAAGAAGCTCAGAGGGGACTAGGCCATTGGTGAAGTATTGCTGCGAACTTGCAGAGAGAACATTGTCTGTTTCCTGTGCTTCTAACTCATGCATCAGCCAAGATGGTATGGGTGGGTCATTGTACCCTTCCATGAACAGCATCGAGCCGGAAGAGTCGTCCTGAGCGGAATCCAGGGACAGCGGCAGCGATGTGGAAGACTGAGTCAACTGTGAGTTGAGAACTAGCTGCTCCAGACGTTGGGGCCCGGCAATCGACTGATGAATAGATAGAGTCGGATCAAGCAACCCGTGATCGTCTGGGTTGGAACTTCCTAGTCCAATGAGTAAGTATGCCGTCTTCGTACTGAAATCAAGACTCATACCACGGGACTGACCGTCACCATCTGTCCGATTCTGCTCATCCAACGAGTACGGACTGAGCCCATCCAGTCCCCTAAGGTTTGTTCCGCTCATCCTGCAAACGAGAGGTTGGGCATGTATATCCTCAAACGTACGTAATGTTCGTAGATGTGGCCTATGATGATACCTTGTGACTGTCACAGAACGATCAATGTAGTTTAATTGGGCTTGGGTGGCGTTTCGTTCGGTGCATCTCCGGGGTATTACATAATCAACATCTAACCCTTACATAAGACCAGCACCATCTGTCGACCATTATGGCCTGTTGAGGATCCCAAGTTTTGGTCTCATTTAGGATGATGGAGCTGCGCAGAGACTATATTACGTCTATTGCTTGGTTCATTCAGCAAAGAGTGCTATCTTGCTGAGTCGCCATGTTTGCAGCCATTAGTGCTGCAGCATCCTCTCACATACACTGGCTAGTTGGCTACGCTGTATGGCAGTCTAGAAATAGCTTAATGTTTTCTCACAGATCAGCATGAATCATATTTTGTCATTCTTAACAGGCCCTCTGCTCAGTATTGAACTGGCAATTTAGTGTGCTGATTATATAGCTCTAGTCCATGGTCCTTTTCCTCCCAAGTTGAGAAATAACCAGCCAAAGTCCAGCTGCAGAGTACCTGGAATATGTATGATCATTCCAGTGTGACACTAATGAAGTACCACTCAAGTTTCTGTTGTCGGACAGCTGTAACAAGTTCTAATGTTACTGAGAAGGCACAGTATTGTTTCAACCGTCATCGGCGGTGTATATCAACCCTCTTACCGAAAGCTGTGGGATAATGTCGCAATCCAGACTATTATATACAGCGTCCTGGCTCGATGTTCTATACCCGTGACTTGAAGATTTTGCCCTTCATATTTGTGTGAGCTGAGTAGTGAGATTCGCACCTATTCCCATTAGAGCGTGGCAGGCCGTAGGTGCCAGACCTGAGTAGCGAATAGCAAGCCGGCAAAAGAAAAGGAAAGGTAAAAACGAAAAGAAAAGAAGCCCCTAAAAACAATATTAATGTAATCCATCCCATATTTCTCACTAGTTGATACTAAGTTTCCGAATGTGAAGGAAAATCCGGTAGGCAGCAGGGCGCGCGCCGTAGGGCGTAGTTAGGGCTAGTGTCGGAGACGCCGACTTCGTCCCCTGTTTTGTTGGCAGACCCACAAACTGTCCCATTGCTCGTACTGAGTATTTGTGTCTAGATGCTCTTGAATTTTGTTTCGTTGAGACACTGCAGTTCTAGTTCTCACGCCTGGAATTGGTCATGACTCAAGAAAGCAAGCCGCATTTTCCCTCTTCAAGCATAACGGTGTGGGGCAGGAATTTGCATGGCCTGTGGTCCTATATGTAGCTGGGTACTTAAGTTCCCCAGTACTTGAGTTTCCCAGTATTGTGCTTGCTTGGTTTGAGTGTACAGCACTCATGCTGGTGATGTCCTGCTTTGGAAAAAGGGGTTTACCCCACAACGACACTTCATGGCTTCAACGTCTGGCGCGAATCGCCAGGGAGCTACAACACCACCAAACACTCATAGAAGTGGTAAATTTGTATATTAGATACTGATTTAATGTCCTAGATTTTGCAAATCCAGGCACCAGATTTGTTGGACTTGGATCTACCCTTTTTTCGGAGTGAGAGCTCTGGTGTCCACACCTCGACCGGTGGGCTCCATTCCCTGCGCAATTATGCTTCGACATATCTATTGCTCCTAGGCAGCCAAATTAAGACAGGCTTCCCATACACTCGAGGCAGCGAGAGTGCCCTGCTAGAAAAGGTACGAACTCATATATAGTCGGGTTGATTTTCTGCCAGGAGGGTCTGGAATACAATTCCTGCTCGTGAACACAACTGTCGCAAATTTGCCCAATGGCTTTTCCTCAGGAGGATTGTGACCGTTCCATTGACTCGCTTGTGCACAGTACTGTACCTTATCCCAATAGGCACCATGGCCCCTCCTCAGACTCGGATCGCTCTCGTACCCAGCCATTCTCTTCTTACCAAACAATGCTAAAGTACGCACGCTCAAACATGGATCCGGATAACAAGGAAGTGGTGTGTGGTCCTCTGCTGAACTACCGACACATGGAGGAGGATCGCTGGAACGGGAGCATCCTGGTCGTGACGAAGCAGAAAGGAGGAATCCCGCGGTCAGGGCCAACTCTGCTTCTCCGTCGATGCCTTGTTGAGGATGATGCATCTCGGGCGGACGCTTACACTCCTGTTAAAGGATCTCTGCTATACTCTGACTACAGGTGCAGCTTCTGGAGATTCGATATAAGCGTGACGATGGAGACAATGGAAAGCAGATGGGAATACACTATCGCAGAAGTTGATTTTCAGCATAGAGTCAGAGGACTCACCCATTCCTTCGTGGTACCGTCTTGCAACGAGTCCATGCGCGTCATGTTCTATTCTTGTAACGGGTGGTGCGACGGAGCAGAGGAAGGAGAATGGAATCATCTTTCTCTTTGGAAGGATGTGCTGAGACGTCATGATGAAGCACCTTTTCATGTTATGTAGGTGTTGCTTGCTCAGGAGAATGATATCGGCTAAACGGCTGACTGGCAAAATACAGGATTGGCGGAGGCGATCAGATTTATAACGATGAAATCTATCAGTCGTGAGTTGTCTCCCAGATTTGTCAAAGATCTTCGTATGTGACTGTGATCTTACGTGTTGATAGAGGTCCATTGCTGGAATGGACCAAGATTGAAGATCCTCGCGAGAGACTACGATATCAATGCTCAAGGGAGCTCCAGCAGGCCTGCGATGACTGGTATCTCTCTAATTACATTCGCTGGTACGTTTTTGGTTTTGAAAGCAATTGGTAATTTGAATCTGATTAGAACCTCTCTCCTACAATAGGTACAATACGGAGCCTTTCGCCTCCGCCCTATGCCAAATCCCGTCACTCAGTATATGGGATGATCACGACGTGCGTACAGTCTGCTGTAACATGGAGCTGGAACTAGACCTTAACATTATGCAAGATCATCGACGGATTTGGATCATATGCCAGAGAAACGATGGAGTGTCCTGTACGTGTTTACACCCGGACGGTCGAATCGTCACGGCCCGCCTTATACAACGGACCCTGCTCACACCTAGAGACTAGGTATTTCAAACCATTGGTGCTCTGGCTCATAAATACTACATGCTGTTCCAGCATCATCTTCCTCCTACCAAGTGGAACTCGCACATTCACGACCCGTATATCGCAGACCCCAGACCCGAACCACAATATGTCCTCGGAATGAAACCTGGGGTACGTTCCATCATGTTATGGTTATGCAGATCAACATCTTATACTAATCCTCCCAATCAGCCCTACATTGCGGCTCATTCGCATAGCATCTTCACGCGGCTGGGTGCAAGAATGGCGTTCTTAGGCGTAGATGCTCGGACCGAGGTAAGTGAGCCATGTCCTTGGCCTACTCAGGAAACATTGCTCACGTCGTCACCATCGCCATCCGGCAGAGGACCCGAGAGCGAACAAACTACCTCGAGACTTATGAACGTCTCTTTTCGCGCGTGCACGAAGGACTGGACGCGGCAGCGCGATCCGATCGGCCGATTAGGCACCTGATCTTGCTGTTTGGCATTCCTCTCGCTTATCCGGTAAGTCTTATCACGACGTCACATTTTGGGATCATATCTGATCATTAGCTAGCCACTCACCTGGCTTGAGACCGCATTTGAAGGTTCTGTCGGCCGTTCGGTCCAAAACCTGAGTCAAAAGCTAGCCATTGGTAAGGCCTCGAAAACGACTACAAAACACAAACGCTGAGATGGTATATCGCGCAGCTGAAAATGCGATCAACCGGTTTGACGGTGCAATTGAGATTCTAGACGATCTCAACGACCACTATACGTCCAAATCCCATCAAGACGAGCGTCGGTATCTGATAGAGCGGATCCAGTCCATCTGCGCGACGCATTCCGTCCGCGCCACAATCCTAAGCGGTGACGTCCATCTCGCTGCCGTGGGTCGGTTCTTCACCAAGCATAAGGGCCATATTCCAGAAATCGAGGCGGACTTTCGATTCATGACAAACATCATCTCATCAGCGATTGTCAATCAGCCGCCCCCGGAGGCGGTGGCCAAACTGATTTCGCAGGCCGACAAAATCAGGGAGCTTAACGCGGAGACAGAAGAGACCTTTTTCAGGATCTTTAGAGAAGACTCTTCCAAGCGGGGGCCAAAAGGAACCGCCGTGGCCATGCCCCGCCGAAATTTCACCATTATCACGGAAAACTCGCCCAATAACCGTGGCCGCGACACCCATGGCTTCAAATTATCCCTGCGACAGTTCCTGGCAAAGCATGGACATCGGCCTCTGCATTTGGCAGAAGCCAATGCGGGTAGACGACACATCGCTGCTTCGGAGCAACATGGAAAAGGCAATGATGGGAGTTTGGATGTATGCATTTGTGTGGAAATCGATCACAGAGACACCTGGGGCAAGACGGAAGGCTACGGCTTTACCATTCCGGTGCTTGATTACCACGGACCTGCAGCTCAATGAATTCGGAATAAGTGTGCTGATGCTATATACTCTGCAATTCCATTGCTCAGAGTCAATGGCACCGTTGGCAACTTATTTCTGAGTGTATTAACTTTTAATTTTAAACCGCGGATATTAACTCCACCCATTTGGGATCAAAAACTGTGCAAATAACCCGTGTAGACTATAATTAACCAGCAACTTTTCCCCAGATTTTGCAAGCTCCGTTTTCTGCTTCTTCTCTCAGTCTTATCAGTGGAGAGATCATACGTTCATACCAGACATGGCGTCTACCTTTTAGCACTCAGCGTTCAGTACCATCCAACTAAGTCCCAACCGAACAAACACAGAGAACCCCATATGCAATACAAAGGACCTCGGTGAGAACAAAAACTCCATCACAGACCGGCCCCGGCCCCACGATGGCAGGGGCAGTAAACACGGTCAACATGCCCCCGACATCAAACGCAAGATTCGCACCCAACGACAACCAATCGCTAAGCTGTCGATTTTTATTATCTGCAATAGCAAAGCAGGGTGGGAATACCCAGACGACATTGATTATGGATTCTATGAATGGTGAAATGACGTTGGAATACAACTCGTTGTCTGAGAGGGTTTTTGTGTTGTCAACGATTGTCTTGACGACGCTCAGTCCCGTCACCTCATCATTCATAACGTTGTACCAGGCTTTGTTGTTGATCCAGAGACCGGTAATGTTGGGGGACACGTAGACAAGGTAGCTTGTTGCAGAGATAATACGGACAGGCAGGCTGGAACTGCCGCCGCGCTTGAGCGCGGTGAAGACTGCCACAACACAACTGCCGAAGCAGGCGCTGATGTTCAGAGTCGTGCTTACAATGTCGGATAAGGATGCGCCTGTGGCTTGGAACCTGCATGGAGACGGCGAGGCGGTCACCTGTTGGCTGGAGGTATCGGAGGTGATGATGTTGACAATAGTTGTCATGTCTACTGCGTCGATTAAGGCTTGCGTCTGACTGTTGTCGGGGAACGGGGCGTTGTTCGTAATCAGCTTGTATATAATGGTTGTTGGGATGGCGCCAATTAGACAGACCAGATCAAGAAAAGACAGGTCATCTCCAACGAACTTCTTGTAGAGTGTTGAGATGATGGGGATATTCAGAGGAGCATCCAAATAACCGAGAACAGTATCGATGAGCAGCTTAGCAACATCAATGACGGTGGTGATGATATTTTGCGCCGATTTGAGGACAAAATCAGCGAGAATGGCCATGACCTGCTGGATGACTTGAACTGGAGTCAAGTTGGAAAAGTTGGCGGCGCAGTTTACCTGGATCTGATTCAGCATATCTTGCACGTCGTCCCACTCGTTGTCAAAGAAGGATTTAAGGTCCTCCAAGATTCCCGCCAGCCCGGATGGGTCATTCGTCGGCTCGTTGTAGGTTGAGGTCGCCACACCCTGGCCATTCTTCGTATGATGAATCGCCCAATTAGACTGAGGAGTATTATTCCCAGGGACCTGTGAACTGTTCTGCTCCAGTGATCCGTTGCTCATTCCGGGGTCAGTCACTCCGCCCCACTCATTAACGGCTTGCTCCAGGTTGGTAAATGCGTTGTTGATATCCCCCTCCAGAGTATCAATGGAGTTGACCACCTGGTTCGCGTACTGCTTGACGATGTTCTTCATCACAAGATGCGTGCGCTTGATATCGCTCCAGTTAAAAATGAATCCTAGCCAAGCAACCAGCTTCTCAAAAGCCACTTCGATCTTGTTCAGGATGAACTCAATCGCACCAGAAATAGCGTTATAGCAATCCAGTACGGCATGGTAGATCTGATCCCCGATTTGAACCAGAAAGTGGTAGATGCCATCAGCCACCGCCACGACAAACTGCTTCACCTTGTCCCACGCCTCTTTCAACCAGTTGAAGACATCCCCCGCCGTGGCCTCCAGCCAGTCACCGAAGTCTAGGGGCGATTCTGGTGAAGCACCCGAACGCAATAACATCCCAGCACTAGCTCCTTCATGATACTTGAATCCATCCGAGCCACACGTCGCCCCCCAGACCGGAACGGGCTGTGATGGGTTGGACGGCGGTGAGACGGTTGAGCCGTCCGAAGGCAGCGTGTCTTTGACTTTCAGGAACTGGACGATACATTGTGCGGCGGTGTTCTTGTCTGTTGACGAAACCCCGTCTGGAACCAGCGGCTCTGTCGACCCATCCTCATGCTGGATTTGCACCGCGCCTAAATCGTCCCCGTTTTGGACGTTGGACAGGGTTTTCCAGGAGTTTGTCAACGGGTCGACTTGGATCGTTATATCGGGGGACTCAGTCAGGGTCACATTGAAGCAAGTGTTCGTTAATGCTGCCGTCTCTTGAATGATTGTCACTGCTCCGGTCACATCTGTCTCGACACCGACTGCAAAGGAGGGAGTAAGAAGATGATAGTCACTGTCGATATACACTGACACAGGGGTTGTTGATGTCAGGGACACTCCGGAATTCGGGAGATTCACCCCGTTGTCATCAGTGACTTGGATATGACTTGTGAAACTATTGTACTGCACCATATCGCTATTGTCCGTCGATGGAAGTAGAATACTCCGCTGACTCCAACTACCGTTACTCGGATCTTGAGTTAATTGTACCAGATTCTCGCCCGAAAGATGCACGAACAGCACATTGTTGCATGCCCGGTTGTTGAGATAGAACGCAAAGGCCTCTGCCCCCGAACAGATGGGAATCGGGGCGGACCAAGCGGTTGGAGTCGATTCACTCCCAGCCGGACAGTGGACATGAAACACCACTTGTTGCGCCGCGTTGTACCCCAGAATTGCAGTGGTATCACCCACACTGGAGGCGGCCAGTTGAGTTACTCCATCCAGCATGCCGCCATTGTCCACGGATGCTTCAGGGATTATCAACAGGGAGTCGACGTTTTCCTTCTGGTTTTCGGGTGTGAAGAGATGGATCCCGTCTGTGCCTGCGACGAAGAGGTTCGTGTTTCCCACATCTGGATTGCCTTGGAGAGTAATAAGAGCAGAAGAGATACACGATGCCCCAGTGGGGACGTTGAGGAGTGTCGGAGTCGGGGCTGCGCCATGTCTGAACGGGTTCGTTTGAGGAATATACACAAGTTCTGTCTCGGAGCCAATCATCCCCAGAGTGTAGATTCCGGGGACTTCATAATCCTGGGAACGGTGTCCAAGACAGCACGAGATAGAGCCCTCGACCAGATCGATTTGCATTGGCCTTGCCACCCACTGGGGTGAACCGCCGGGCTGAATATAGTAGCGATCGAGCAGGCCCACGTTGTCACTGGGATCGCGTCGGATGTCTACAAATATATTCTCAACGACCGTCCCGCTATATGGGATATTCATGATAAACACATCTGCGATTGTCAACGGATCTGGTGGTGTGATGGGTCCGGTATTCGAGGTCGCATCGAAAGGGGCCAACGCCCAAGTGATGCCGTTTTCCCATCCATCCTCGTCAATGGAATGACCGAGGCAGATGTAGAGAGAGTCGACATTGTCGATCGTGACGACCAGGGCCATATCAAGCGCCATGCTCTGTGCATTTTGGCACAAGGCGAAGCTTTTTGCGGTCACGGAACTTGGAGATATCGATGACGATAGATCAATCTTCGTCCAGCCTGTTCCGCTGGCTGGTACCTCGCGGGTCAGATAAAACACCCCGTCATCGCCGATGGAAAAGAAAAGAGCCTCTCCGTCGGACGTTTGGAGGACATCAAACGTCTTGTCTGGTGCCATTACACTAGCATGCTTTTGATTTTGCATCAACTCAGTTTCGACTGTGACCTTCATGTTGGCAAGCTGGAGCGTCAAGTAGAGTTAGAATTGCAGTGGAACTCGTATAATGATATTGACACAAACACGAGAGGAGGATATATTGATATTGATTGTCAGGTGCAACGGGAGGTCGTTGCATATTTCAGTAATGCATGATGTTCAAACCTGACCGCGTCATTGTCATTTAGGGTCTTTTTACGCAGCCCTTGCGTAACCTGAGTATCGGATTACATAGCTCCATTCAGACAGTTAGCCTACATCAGGTTAATAGAACTTTGATTGATTGATCAATTGATAAATTGGTTGATTGGCTGAACGCAGTGCCGGCGACCATCACATGGGCAATCTTCTAGCAATCTTCTATCACCTCCAAAATCCGGGGGGCAACTGGATGGAGAGTACTTTGGCTGAATGCGGATGTAGACGACGACTCAACCAAAGGTTTTCCCCCACAAGCGTCTGGTTTGTTTAGATTTGCCAGGAAAGCTTATCTCGGCACCACAATTCTCGATCGATCTTTTCCTAAAACAAACAAAATATTTGTGCGGCGCGTGACGAAGCCATTGTGCTCACCTTTACCAATTGATTTCATATATTACAAAACCCACTATCATGCATGTCCTCGTAGTCTAGGTATGTCGTATGAGGCAGATAGCCACTTCGCCGCTTGGTAGCTGCAGTTGTGAGTTCTTCTTGATGCTCTAGACCACCAAGGACTGTATAATAAGCTGGCACGTCCCATAACCTATAGGTAAATGCGATATCAATCACAAAGACAAGCATCCGGAACCTACATTTCACTGAATCGTACTTCTCATATCATTATAATGTCGACCTCTTACTGCCTTTCAGACTTGAGTAACCCAAGATATGGCTACGACTTTGTTGTTGCGACCACTCAGATCAGCATCAATGCCATCCTGCTGCAGTTCCTCCAAGGAATCACAGAACCAACAGTAACAGCTTGCTATGTATTCGACAACACAACCAAATCCACAGTTCCAATCGATTACAACACACTGATCCAGGAGGCAAACGGGACAGATCCGTTCAGTGTGCCGGACGGCTCTGATCCCCAAACCGACCAGGATCTAATCAATCTGAAAAATGTTCTGTTTGTGGGCGCCTTTCGGGCGACGATGGGCTTGCCATCCGACATTAGTCCAGCTAACCTGCCAGACTTGGTGACTCTTGGTGCTGACACCTCGCAAGTCACATTCAACCTTCTCTGTACGGACTTCACGGTGGTTGGGTTTGGTGGTTCATACTATTCCCCCGTGTGGCTGAATCAGTCTCAGCCTTCCCAAGGGCCGCTGTGGACTTTTGCTTCCAAAGTCGATATGATCCTTTCGACTGTCGACCAGAGCAAATACTCCAATTTGCCTCCAGACGTCCAAAAGGAGCTGAAGAATCTATCTGGAACCGCATTCAGTGTGCAGCAATTACTTTTTGATTTGGACAATGCGGGACTGTGGTCCACTCCGACCATTCCGAATGTAACCCCCGGCTCGGCTCTGGACGTTTTACTGCAAGAGACTTTCATCGGCCTATACTTCACCCAGATGCAGAGCTCCGGACAGCCTCTGCTGGGCGTCGGGGTGGTCCAGCAGACGCCGCCCACCGCGAGCCTCGACCTGACAAACTTCAACTTCGAGGTCTCTCCATACGTCGACCAGAACGGGCAGCCCTACTCCAATCCAACCCAGGAACAGCAACAAATGGCCACCCTGAACTACCTCTGTGCCATCAACAACAACAACTTACCCCCTTCGGTGCAATTCTCCTGGAACTGGGTCGATATCAGCGACCAAAGCAACTTCGACGGCGTCGTTTCGATCAACCGCAACGCATTCGCCTCGTATTTGACCGCTCCCATGGTCGCCTACGCAAAGCAGTACTGCTTCCAACCCACTTGCAACGTCGACCAAGAGTTCGATGGCTTCGGAACAGTGCTCACTTTCTCGTGCTCGTTGCAAAATAATAACACTCCCACAGTGACGCCCGTCTGGTCAGGCGACAATGTCATGACCATCTCCTATACCGGCACCGATTCCGCTTGGAATCAGTACTCAGATGATGTTGGCACGCTGGAAATCACAGCGACATATACGATGAACATGTCCTTCTCGGGCGCTCAGGTGATCATCACGCAGGAGCAGGTCATCTACGTCAAGATTTCAAATACTCCAAAAACCTATGATGGGAACATGGTTGACACAACCCTCACGGATACTTACGACCTCTATATTGATGACGACGGAAATCTGGGTGCTTCCTGCACTTCAACGACCACAACAAACCCGACTTTCCCTTCAATCAGCAGCATCATGAACTTTTTTACCGGTCTGGGGAGCATTTCTCAAACAATCCTCGGTGACATTCAAAGCTTTCAAGGAGGACAGTTGAACGATATCCCCCTGGCTCCGTTCCAGAACTTTGTTTTCCCGGGTGGCAATACCTTCGCGTTTAAGAATGTGCAGTTCTCCAATAATCAGGATCTTGTGACACCCATCACGTATCAGGATCCCAATGGCCAAGTGGCGGTCGCCCCAAAGTCGTCAGTGTCAAAGAATCCGCAGAGAAAACTAAACATCAAAAATATTTATAGTGACAAATAAGCAGAAGAATATGATGGTTTGTCCATGCCACATTTGTTTCGCCGACATCGCCTCGGCATACAAGGGCACCTGCACCTCTTGACTTCCCAGAGTACATGAGCTACCATAAAGACATAATTCGCGTGCTGCCTTTATCTTCTTGGAAGACTTGCTACAGGGATCATCCATGACCTGTCTCCATACAAGGAGTCCAGTAATTCCATCGTCCGGCCGCAACGTGTCCTTGATTAAGAGCCGCTGTGAGATCACACATCCAAAGCCCCGGGACAGCATTACTACAGCCACACTGCTCAAGGCAGCCTGGGCACTCTGCCTCGCACAAAACCACAGACAACGGATGTTGTTTTCGGCCTTCTTGTCGGCGGCCGCAACCTACCCATTGCTGGTATCGAGATTGTCGTCGGACCTTGCCTCAATATTCTTCCGGTCAGGGTGAATACACAACCTGATTGGACGGTAGGGACACTTTTACGCCGGACTGAACCAGAAGACACAGTCTATGGACATTGGCACTGTTGACGTGCCTGAACTTTTTGCCCGTGCGACCTCTTGGCCGCCTGATACGATGTTCGGCAGTGGGATCCATTACCAGAATATCCCATCCTTTTTCGGCCGTTCCCTCATCAAGGACGTCCACTGCCGTCACCGGCGATGTGCCATTCCCGTTCGACTTTTCAGAAGCAGATGATGAGCGTATCAAAAGGGATAGCGATGATGCAACGGTAGGGATCGAGCTAGTTGCGGAGGTCAAGGAGAGAATGGGCGATTTGTGGCCGGATGAAGGCTTCATCGACCACGAGCGATACGATGCTTGCAACGCCGCCCTCAACGAAGTCAAAGGTCAGCTATTGGAACAATTGGCTGGAACTGATGAGGAAAGGGCTGAGTACGAACGCTATTGGCCATTCGAATGATCTCTATTATATCAAGACAATAGCATGACTGTGAGAAAACAGTAAAGAAACTATGGGCAACTGTTAAATGTACCTCATTTTACTGATAGAATATCCACCGTGAAAAAATAATATGGGGTATATACCACGTAGACAAGGCCTGCAGTAGAACTCTGCGAAGTCTAATCTCATGCTAAGTACTCCAACTCCTCCGGCTGTTCAATTCCCAGACACTCTCTCACAATGCCCAAATACCGGTCCACCCGCAAGGGCGATGAAGCCAGTAGTAGTGTTCTTATTATCTTGCAAAGTGGTTTCTAGTATTAGACTATGTCACTCATGCACCTAGTCAACCGAAGCCCTAGCAAGCTGCCACATATCTCATCGCCCAGTAGATAACTACTAACTGTTTAGAACCAGCGCAAGACCTGATACACTTGGTAACATGTTTCCATAAAATTACTGATTATGTACTTCATATGAGCCGCCAATTAGATAATTACACCTCTCCGTCTCCCAACAGCGGTAAAGTATCATGCTTACATAGCTTATAGACAGTCAAAGCAATATCGACGAGACCAACATCGAAATACAGCAGATATGTCCACTTTTGACGGCCGCCTCATTTGTCTTGTCAGAGGCAAATAAGGCTACCATGGCCCTCGGACTAGGATATAAGCATAGCTGCGAAAACAGACAGAAGCATGACGATACTCAGGGATGACCAAGCGCCAAATCTTGATCCCTCACTACTTGTCGGGGAGGGGCTTGGACTAGAAGTTGGACTTGAAGTCGTGGTCGCCGTTGAGCTGGTTGTAGCACTGGTGCCTGAACTGGTGCTAGTAGAGGTGCCAGTGGAAGAAGATGTCGCTTGCGAGCTGCTGCTGCTCGTCGTGGACCCAGTGCCTGGTTTTCCTACTGTGCCACCACCAACAGCAGCAGGTACCGTAGAATCTCCTGCATTTTGCGCAGCTGCCTTGAACGCATCAAGTGTATCTGGGTTATTGCGTCTACGGGCGAGATACGCAATCAGAACATGCTTACACCCTCAGCGTGTGATACTTACGGTGGATTGATGACCCCGACCATGCCAGCCTGGCAATGGCCAATCTGGCCACAGTAGAACCAGATAGGGTTGGTATCGTTAACAGTCAATGTGAAGACATCCGACTTTGGAAGCACAGTATCAGTACGATGCTTTCTAGGACTTTTGCAGAGACTCACTGATTCTCCATTTGTGGCGGGGAAAAACCCGCTGAAGAAACTCGACTGGCTAAGCGGGTGGCATGGTTTGGAAAAGGCAGCCTGGGCCACTGAATGGTTGCCCGGGTAGAAATGGAACTCGACTTTGCCTCCTGGGGAGACGGAAAGAGTATCTGGAACGAATGTGAAACCATGCTCCCCAACATCGACGGTGTGGACAGCACTCGAAGCTGAGGACGATGTGGTTGTTGCTGAGGATGATGTGGTGGTTGGTTTCTCAGTAGTACTACTACTTTGCCCACCATACTGGGCATAAATGAGAGGAAGCCAAGAGACGGCAAGGATGAGATTCAGCACCCGGGCCATTGTTCGTATGCACTATTTGAACTTGTCCTATGTAGTAGATGAGACTCTTCTCTTCTACGTATACGGTTCCAGTGCTGATTTATAACTTTGCAGTAACTAGTACGAGGTGTTCCCCGGGGAGGTAAGTCCTCTCATCATCCTCCAAAGTCCCTGAACATGCAGTTGCATCATGACTGGCGTGAAAGCCAAAAGTGAGAGTTATCCCAATGACAGTAGACTGGATGCTTCGCCACTTTACGTAGTCGCAGAACTCAGATCACAAAACACGAGCTACAGCCTCAATCACTGGAAGCAGTAAATTGGTGGGAGTATCCGGCTATTTTTGGGGCGGTGCTGTACCAATAACTTGGTAGGCCAACGTCACCCTTCAGTGTTAATAGGCTGGAATAAAAGGCGCTAGGACAAAGGTTCATTAAGCTTCCTATATAAGTAGGGTCATGCAGTGATGCTAGAACCTAGGGTAGCCAATGTGCTTGTCGCCACAGTGATGCTCAGCTCCAGACTATCCTAAACTCAATTGTCAATTGTAGTTGTTGTGATGGGATATATACGTTGACCGCATGTTGCATTTGTGGTTCCCTCCTTTCGACCATGGAACGGTGTGTTCTCGCCGGGATCTACATCAGCCCACCAGCAATTATCATCAGATGGAAAGTTACTTTATTAGCTCCTGTGACGTTTTCGTTAAGCTTTACAATACGATTATTCTCATACTGCCATGCTGTGCAGTGACCATCCAGATTCGATCTATCCAAACTTTAACATACAGAAGGTTTGCACTGCCCAGCTTACATTGCCCGGCTTCTGCATTATTTTCTGATGGAACTGAGCTTGACGGGAGATATTTGCCGTGCATGGAGCCCTTCAGAAATGGTCACTGCACTGGTGCATGAATGCAAAGCCATCACTAACCACATGTTCATACTGCTGGCTGAATCGACGCAAAATAAGCACTCTTCCAACTGGTGTTGTATTTTCCTATGCTCCTTCCGCTATCACCTATCCTCGCGGGTAGTCATTTAAATCTACTTCGGTAGTCGGATACAATGTTTATCGTATACTGTCTGTGCTGGTGGTTCATCGCCTGCAACCAAGCACTGGGCCAATTGCAGACTTTTACTCCAGCAGGAGAAAATGGAATAACATACAGCGTAAATGTCCCTGAATCAACTGCCGGCTCCGGCTCTGGGCCCATTTTCATTCAGATGCGATCCACTAAAGCAGTACAGTGGTTCGCATGGGGTCAAGGAGCCGTGATGCAAGGAGCCAATATATTCATCGTCTATGCGAGTGGGAGCAATATCACCGTCTCGCCACGGCTGGGGTTCGAGCACGTTGAGCCTCTTTACAACCCCCAGGCTCGATTCTCAATCCTCAATGGCAGTGGAATCAGCAATGGAATCATCACAGCAAATATACGGTGCGATAGCTGTATCACCTGGCCTGGTGGCCATGAGGATGTGACCAGCTCGTCCAGCCCCTGGATATGGGCTGTGAAGCAGGGTCCCATGCTAGGATCAGACAGTGTCTCGGCGACTATCACTATCCATGATCTCTCCGGTGTTGCAACCGTCAACATGAAGCAGGCAACCGGTGGCAGCTCTGAGAACCCGTTTCTCGGTGGATCAATGTCGTCAAATTCCAGCTCCGCGCAGGCCGGCCAAACCATCAACTCGTCGTCCGTCACGACGAAAAGAATCGTGCACGCTGTCTTCATGATCGTCGCTTTCGTTCTCCTCTTCCCCTTAATCGCCCTTGGAGTCCCTCTTTTCCCGTCCTCCAGGACAGTGGATATCCACGCCTGTCTGCAGCTCTGCACCCTTACGATAGTAATCGCAGGATTCGGCCTCGGAATCTCAATGGCCAAGAGCCTCCATCTCGTGAACTATTACCATCCCATTATTGGCATTGTAGTTGTTTCATCCCTAATCCTATTTCAGCCAGCGATGGGTCTCATCCAGCATTGGTATTTTCGCCGGTCGGGGAAGAAGAGTATCGCCGCCTATGTTCATCGGTGGTTGGGTCGTACGTTCATCACTCTGGGGATAATCAATGCGGGGCTTGGCTTTCGTCTCACGGGCATTGGGACTTCTATAGCTCCTACTGGGGCGGTGATTGCATATGGCGTCGTTGCTGGACTTGTCTGGGTTAGCTATGTGTTGATAATTAGCTTCCTCACTTACAGGGCGCGTCAATCTCGGAGCAAGTGACTAACACAACCTCTATGTGTATACTAACCTTACTAAGTTAATTAGGGATTTGAGCCCACTGGGCTAATGCAGTGGAAGTCCGGACGTTAGTTTCAACTTATTTGCTCCATTGCGAGAGTTTGAGCGGATTTGCGCATTTAATCCGCTCCTACGTCTTGGTGCAGGGATCCAAGTATGGACCTACATGAACATCATAACATATTGCTGGGACAGAATTTCTCTATTGAGTGCCAATCCTGGAGTCAACTGTGCCTAATCATGACACGCGCCATCTTGCCACCCTGATGAGGGCTGTGCATACCGTCCCAAGAACAGTTCGCCCACTATAATGCCTCCGACCACCGCGCAGAACACTCCCACATTGAACGTCATCACTGCCAGCATTCTAAACAAGTTCAGCAATAGGCATTGACAGCGTCGGAAAGGGTGCTATGCTCTTACAGTGCGTAGCCCACCAGAGCCCGAAGTCCCTCGAGTAGCGAGCTCGTTCCATCCCGTCGCCAACTCCAGCGTCTGTACGCGCTCCACCAACGACGCTCTGCCAGGGGACCCTGTGGCTCCTGAGTCAAGCTGGAGAAGAGTCCATCGCGTGTACGCTCGGGATTCGGTCCCAGGAACGGAGCCGACGGGAAAGACGCCTCGTGGTCGGAGTCGGTCTCGGCAACCGCCATGTATCGAGGCAGCGGACTCAGACGATCCTTAGGAATGGCATGTCGGGGTCGGCGCGCAGTGAGCAGCTGCAGCTTGGGCACGTCCCTCTCAACCGGTTCGGTGTGCTTCACGTCGAGCTGGAACTTTAGTACGCCCAGGAAGCGGTTGAACATGGCCAGGGCGAAGAGGAAGATCAACGTAAAGGTGTAGGAGGTTGCTGTGGTAGTCGTCCAACCGCGGAAGAAGAGTGTAATCTCGGTGTTGGCTTCGAAGACCGTTGACATGTCCATCCGCATGCTGTGGCCGCTCTGGTCCATCCTGTCGACATTGCACAATCTCAATCTAACGTGTAAGACCTGGTGACGGATGCTAGATATCACATTCTGCGGTTATAGATCGGCGTGCTAATTGACCCCAGCCCAATGATGATCCATCACGAGGCCCCAGTGAGCACTAGACCGACAGCCATGGGTGCGGCAGTTTGAGCAGATTCTTATGAAGGCAGAGCATAACCCACCCCGACGGCATCATGACTCTGCGAGCCCAATTGGAATGCAACTTTTTGATCAGATTCTGCCCTCCACTCTCTGCCGCGAGAAGATCATATAAAGCATTGTCTCTGAACTTGACCCCACTCAGACCTTCCCTCTACCAGAGCTCCGTCCGGTTGTCGAGACACTTTTGAACATGTACTGTACTACTATCTCTATTACAATAAATATAGTCATCTAGTCAGCCCTTAGTCGAGTGGCTTTCTGACTAGATCAGCACACATTTCCAATTTCTGGGCCTAGACCCACTTGGGGAGAAATGCGCGCATATCCTTGCACTCCACCTTGATATAGGACTGTATTATGCATAGATGTGGATTAGTGGACGTCGGCAAAATAAATCATCTGTCCAAGTGTCTTGATTCAGAGACGGACAAATGCGTATCTTTCAAGTTGCAGTTGCAGTTGTAGCGTAGGTTGTCTACAGGATTGCTTAGTATTGCTTCCACGTGGATGATGTTGTAATGGCGCCGTAAGTCACCTCAGCTTCGGTTTTCTACTGAATAAGATTGCGCGGATTTGAGCAGGATACTAAACCAAAATAGTCGCACGCTGCACTTGTCTACTACCACCAATCGAGCGCTTGGCTGGTCGACACCTATTATAGACAGAATGGATTTGATTAAGGACACTCTGTTTCTTTCCGGATATTCTAGATCTCACCTCGTCGCCGAGGCAAAAGATTTTATAAGTTCGTCTATTTGCGCCATGATATTGGCTGTTCTGATATCAATCGCGACCGCAATACTAATATACAATGGGGCAACCACTGGAAAGGACGTCAGCATCCAAACGACCGACAACATCGACGCCGCCTCCGACACGCCGAGTCTGGAGGAAAGAATGAGAGGGAAATCATTGAGCATCCCAATGAGATCACATAAGATACCGAAATAGCCACGACCCTAGTATGGTCCAAGATCGCCTTGTATGCCACATATGCCTGGTGAGTAAGTCATAGAATCCAACCTTCTACCAGGAAAGACTAGAAGCATACAAAGGAGAGAGGATAGCAGCCAGTTAACGGATACCGTTGTATTGGATCTGGGTTTTTTTTCTTTGTTCTCGCCCTGCAATCTTCCATTAGCAACAATATGATCTATGACGCTTATGCAGGCTTCTCATTGGCTCCAAGTCTCCCAGGCTAATATCCTCTCAGCTATCATCGGTGGAGTGCTACAGCTGCCTATCGCCAAAACGCTCACCCTCTTGAAGCCAGGCCGACGGCTCTCCTTTTTGTCGGTGTCTTCATCCTCGGGATTATCGTGATCGCCTCTTGTAATGGTCCCAATGGCTTCGCAGCTAGATCCGCCAGACCAAACACTCAAGAAGATGCCTGCATTTTAGCGCGCCGCTGATGTGCTAGGCGCCGTGTCTGGGAGCTTTGGCAGGCGATCGGCTACGCCGTTGCCGTGGCCATCTACTCCAACACCTTCCCGCAGGATCTGTTCCGTTTGCTTCTAGATGACACAGAGACCGACTACACTGCTATTTAGCTTGGTGGTTCGACTGCGCAAGTCGTGTACCCGCCTGGCAGTGCGGCCAGGAACGCGATCAATCATGCTTGGAAGGAGAGTCGGAAATACGAAAGTATCACGGCCGGCCACTGTTATTGTGTTGCATTCCCGGCTATTGCTATGTGGATGAACTACAATGTTGACAGGAAGCAGGTCAAGGGAACGGTTATCTAGTTCTGTCAAGGTCTGTTCAATTGTTGTAATGTGCGATCATAACTGCCCATGGCTACCTAGATACATACTATCTGATTGAAACTTATCTCCGGTACCTACTATCGCTGCCTGTCCGAATCGTCTCCTTAAGCTGTCTATGGGGTACTCTGGTCTGAAATGATCAAGCAGGTCTACTAAAGAGGTACTGCAGTCAAAACACTCATTGTTAGAACATAGGGCGTGGGTGGTTCTATGGCGCGTCCTATATGCGTGCCGCAACATAGGGCTACTACTAATCATGAAAGGGCTATATTGCAGTCTTTTTGATGTAATGACTCAGTGAGTATTTAAACTGCACGTCAGAATGCTACATAGACGCAGGCTGTTGCCAGTCCAGCTTAATAGTCAGAAAGGGAGACTCTCTCCCACAATTTGACCTAATCCTATAATGTCAGTTGACCTTCTGGATTCCATATTAATCTCAAGGTGAACGCGGAAATAGGAGAGAGGCTAGTCATTCGCGGTCGAGGTATTATTCATCTAAGTCAACCATTCTTTCCTGTGTACCATTTAACTCCGTCAATAGTTGTCGGCCAAGACGGCCTTGTTGCCGAAATATTAGAGGTCCCAGGGTAGAACGGCGCCCTCCTCACAGGTATGTCATGTGGTAGTGTATTCGATATTACCCATCACTGGATTGAGCCTCAGGACCTGGACTTCTTCGTTACTTTGGACCCCATTCTAGTGCATACTTAGCAGTTGCTGCATGTCAGGGTCCTGAGGGATGTCTCGTCCACCGGTCCGCCGACCACTCAATCTCGCTAGGTGCTGGCCACATCGAAGAGAAAAGGGTGAAGGCTACTCCGCTACGCTATTATAAGATGGCTTGGGATGTGCTATTTTGTTTATAGAGAGCTTTCGGTGAGCTTTGGTGGGATAGAGCAAACATCCGGAACGTGTGTGGTGCCATTGAGTACATTGAGGTAGGTCCTGAACAGTCTAAAAAGATGACTATTGAATTGCTCCAGACCGCATCAGTCAGTCACTAAGATACTCCTCTTCGTCCTCTTCCGACTCATCCTCAGATTCGAGACTGGCAAAGGCCGCGGCAATATTGATTTGCTTCTCTGCGAGAACTTGTTCTCCTTGGCCATTATCCCAGCGCGCCTCATATTTTATATTGTAACCATCGACGATCATGACAAGGTCATATTCAACGCGGTAATGGCGTCTGCCAAGCAAATTATCCGGTTTGACTGGCTTGATGTGGCCCTCGGTACGCAAGAAAGTCATATCAACTTCTATCTGGCCCGCCACTTTAGCCCCTAGTAAAGAAACTCAAAGATCAGCAATAAGGCATTCCCATCGTTATCAAACGGCGAAAAAGGAGGGGAAGGTATGTAGGGAAGGTGTGAAGGCCGCTTTCTACCTTTATTGTTTTTGTGGCGTCGCCTGTAATGGCTCTCGTGACGCCTGTCCGAGACATACAGAAGTTGGTTGCACTTAAACCTCTGCTTTGTGTTCACTGGGAATGTGAACATGGTTCGAAACCTGAATTCCCTAAACGGCGGTACTTCATCTCCCTATAGGCGTGAACCGTGTCAGCCAATGATAGTCTTAGCCCGCTCTCCGTTGCCATACCTTCTTCAAAACCCAACATATGGTATTCTTCACGTATAAGTCTCCGTCATTCGGATCAGCCTGCTTAGGTCTGCTTGAGCCATGAGCCTCAATAGCATCAGGCTCCCAGGGCTCGGTGCGCAGGTAACCGTAGCTTGATTGGATAATCCTAACCGGACCTAGTTCTCGGTTGAGAGCCCGGAGAACCGCACCAGAAGCAACCGCAGTGTCGCTGTGGCATTTGGGACAATTAGTCTCTGGTTTGCCGTAAGCATTCAAGATGAACTCACCGGATGTTAGGGCGCAAGAGCCCTACAGGTGAACCGACAATCGAGGTTGACCTCGTGTCCAAGATCCCCCGAAGATAGTGATGCAGGGAAGGCGACGCAGCAAACCCCCCAATGAGTAAGACTTTCTAGGCCGGTTGTGAATAGCCTGGAAAACTGGCTAGAAGGCAAATTTCAGAGCAATGCTCAGGCGTACCTTAACGATGATCCCACTTCTGCGGGCTGACTCGAGCTGTCTAAGCATGAGCTGGGCGACGCCCTCCAAACAAGGACGGAAAATATCTTTGAAATCGTTCCTGGAGTCCAGGCCGTCAGAGTTCCAGCGTCATAATTTATAATCTGAGCGGCCCTTGGCCCAAGATTACTTACCTATCCAGTTTCATTCGGTGATCTTTGAACTTCTTTTCTGGATTCGCCTTGAGCCCTTGTATGAAGAACTCGTAGCCTGTGTAATTGTTATCCGTAATATCGCAATTCCTTTTGACTTTGGTTTCAAATTCCCATACTTGGAATGCAATGATTCCCTCCATGGTTATCGTGGGAGAAGTGAGGTAGGTTTCATCCCTTAATCTGTTTTGCAACATCCCTTCAAATCGTTCATTCAAATAACTAGAGCCACATAGAGCACCTAAGGTGATGTAGGATCTTCAGCGGCCTGGTTCGTCAATGTAAGACTTACAACGCACCTTCCGGTTTCACCGCCTCCCTTTCCAACTGCAGAGGTTCAGTGTTTCTCAATTTATATATCACGGCGTCGACAGTCCCGCCCCCGGCGTCAAGAATCATGAAAGAGTCTCCGGCCTATTGTACTTGTGCATTTTGCCCCATCAGGGAAAATGGAGTTAGACAATCTGGGTGAATGTTGGCATTATAACGGGGTTATGCTACCTTAACCTCTCGAGTGGATGCCAAAACATGGGCAGCAGCAGCCTCTGGCTCGGAGACGATGTAGAGATTCTCCACACTGTTTGATATGGTTCGACCGAAGAGCGATCGACGACTGGCTTCAATTAATGCATCTTGCATTTTTCTCACTGCCCGTCTTCGCCAGACTACCGGAACACAGAGCACCCATTCGACTGAGTCTCTGTCATTGAAACCATGCGATTTGATGAGTTGAGCTTTGGTATGCGTAAGCAAGTGCCTTAAGAAGTCAACGATTAAATCGAGGCTGCTGGTGATAATCTTTAATGCCTCCAGTTCCTTTGCAGTAATCTGGAGTTGTTCGCGGAGCTCCCTAGTGAAATCAGTCTTGTCCAACAGCAACTTGGAACGGGTGATTCTCCGCAAGTTGCTGCGATCTGCATCCGGTGTTTTGAAATGTTCAGGTACGGAGAACCCCCAACGAACGATTTGATCCGTATCGATAGGGGCGGTTGTTATGGCAGCGTCAAGATCCATCATCTCACCAGAACCCGCTTGAGAGGGTCTGGGTCTAAGAGGATAGCACGTTTCCGTGGGCACTTCCATTGTTAACCCTCGCACACTCTCACCTGCATCGTCGTAGTCCGAAATGCATGAAATCTGGTGGATATCTACAAATGTTCTCTCATCGCCCGGTCTAAGGACTGTGTACGCCACTGCGGAGAACGTTGTTCCAAAATCCACCGCAACTATGAACTGTCTGGGCGGCTGTCCCTCATTCCCATCGTCTGTACCGTTTGCCGCTGGCAACTCAGCACGGGTTGATGATTGATTGATTGACTCAATGACGTCGTCTAAAGAATCGTTCGAGAAAGCCGGTACGAACGTGGGACGCATGGTTGCGGAAGACGAAATCTGGATATTCGTTTTCCTGATCAGTGCTAGGTTCAAGGATGAGGGTGAGGGAGAAATTCTTTTGGCACAGGGAAGCATATAACTGACTCTGTACCGGCAAGGTCTCTGCAGAGCTGAGTGAGCGGAAGGTACTAGATTCGGTCAGAATCTCTCAAGCAACAAGGCTGAGTGAACTGAAACAGAGAACAAAAATCCCTCACCCTGCCCTTCGATAGCCCATCGAGCTTCTCCTAGCAGGGACTACGAAGAAGGCTCTCAAAACGAAGCGCAGCTGAACAATGTCACCTAGCCAGAAATCCGTCGTTTTGAACTTCTTCTTTCAACGTGGACGGCGCGAACATTCTCTGTTTTAATTGGAGGTACTAGCAATGCTAAATTTGGTTATTCACGCAAGGGGCATTGGCGCGTGTATCAGACGCCTGACCAGCAATGGAGCCTGGGCCGATTGGGCGGAAGGTAAATTGCGGCGCAGTGAAGTTGCATATGGTCGCTGCTCCGCCTTGCACTTGCGTACTCTTTCCTTTTTTAACATCTCACTGGAGCCATTGTCCTTTTCTTTTTGCTTGTACACATATCATCTGCTCACCTGAGCGGACTGATTGACCCGGTATGGCGCGATCTAAACGAGTCCATAATGCGGAGCCCGCGAACTGGAACACCGACGAGGAGAACGAGCTTTTGGCGTGGCTCGACTACAATTTGGAGAAGAGTTCGGATGGCTTTGCGGCCTTCAGGGATTCAGTTTCCGAGCACCTTCGCAGAGTGTGCAATGCCAGCTACACCTATGAGCAGTGTCGGAGGAAATTGTATATGTTGTGGAGGAATTACGGAGACGACAGCGCCCAAAAGGTCGCCGTATTGCACGAGCATGGATCCGAGACTCTGACTCTCCTGCCGACGGAGCGAAAGGACTCTATCTTGGCCAGAGTAATTGTGCTCAGGGAAAGGGACCTGAATTTTCCCCGACGTCTGAGGAGTGTATCTCGAAACAGTGCAACTCCATCGCAGCATCAGGGGGATAATCGACAGACAACTTCTGCGACCCGGCAACGGCCACAGCTACAAGTTCCCTCCGTTGTAATTTCATCAAGTCGACTTCCTGAAGCCAAGCGGCCCCTGAGACAGGGCAGGAAGAGAAAACGTCTTTCTAAACAGGTATGGATCCGGCAGATACGGCGGAGATCAAGAGCTAAGCTTGTTCAACTACGAAAAGGTTCCAATCAGAGCTTCAAGCCAGGAATCACAGGAAGATGGCGAGGCCAGAAGCAAAAAAGAAACTGACCCAGACGATACGGATACAATGGATAACATGCCAGACGTGGATATCATCCTAGCGCGAGCGCGCGTACCTAGCACAAGGAACGGCAGTGATCAAACAACAGCAACAAATCCTCGGACCACAGAGGTATTGGAAACTCTAAAGTCCGAGCTCGCAGCACTCCAAGAGCAAGTGCGAGTACTGGGTGAGCTGCAAAATGATACTCGATCTTTTATAGTCTTCTTGCATATGCGTTTGCGCGAAGCTGTCGAACGCGACGAAGTGGCTCAAGCTCGTATACACAGCCTTGAGCGGGCAGAGGGGGCGCGAGCCAATGGTAAGTCACTCGTCTCGGAAATGGCGAATCTGGGAGATAGGATCGCATACTTGCAGAGGAAATTGGACATAGCCAGAGATGTGGGAAGGTTTACTCAGCTCTCGTCAACAGGCGAGATACGACCTTGGAACCGAAAATGGATCGACGAGACAATGGACGATATCGATTTCTACATGAAGCAGCTACTCTTAGATCACGATAACATTGACCACTTTGAGGCCCCGAACCTCGACAAGGACGCGGACCTTACCGGACTTATTCGAATAATATTGGGGCTGACCCCACAGGAGCGGGTATCCACAGAGAAAATGCGAATTCAGCTGTCCAAATTAAGTTTGCAGTCAGTTGTACGTGCTTTGACTGCGGCCACTCTCTGCAGATGGGTCTTTCATGCTGAGCTTCCCGGTATGAGTCTGACAGACTCAGTGCTCTTGAATGAGTACAGGAGCCATCTAAAAACAATAAGTGCACTATCCTTGATCTTCCTCTTGCCTTCCCTCTATTCTGGCTTACTGCTACGGCCCTTCTCTGTCTCCCCCTTTGGCAACGGATTCCTTTTTTGATATAAACAATGCTAACAAGGCGCTAGATGGAGAGGTTGCCCTTCGGAACCTGGATTTTGCCGCGCATCAATCACTTTTCAAAAGTCCGCTGTTCCAAGACAACATACTTCCTCGACAAGCCGAGTCACTCGCCTGTCGGCTGTCGAAGCTCCTTTCTCGGCTTTTCCGGAACGACGAAAGCGTAGCGGTGCATTCCGCAGGATCGTACGGAGTTCCTTCAGCTGATCGTTTCTACACTTGGGGCGTTGATGAGCGCATCTGGATGAGCACCCGATATAAAATGATCAAAATATTTCAACTTGCTCTCGAAATCAAGTATAAGTCCATGCTGAGCACGTACCAATTCGAGGCGGTCCTTTACCCCCCTCGGACGCCCTTCCTAGCAGAGCAGACGAAGCCAGAGACGGTGCAGGGCAGCGATATGACAACATATGCCTCTACCACGCATGATCTAGAGGTTAAACTCTGCTTACTGCCGTCTCTATATTTGTGGAGGTCTGATCGTATGCGAGTGGACAGCAATACGTTTGTGCAACGTCATCCTTCTGATCGAGACGAATGTGAACGACTTACAAAAGCGGTCGTGGTTGCAGAGCCACGATGAACATTTCTATATATGACATGCTTACTCTCAATAATTCAGCTTATATTTGTTAGACTTGCGACGGGAGATTGTTGCTTGAGGCGTTCTTTAGCGGGCAGTATTGCCTTAGTCAATGAACCATGGTGCATCATCTGGTAGTCGACCTGATAGTATCTGTATCCAGCGTGAAATACCAATCTCATCACGATGTGATAATGGGTTCGCCTGCTTTCCCTTTTCCGACCCTGTAATGTATATATTCGGCTTCGGAACTTCGCAGACGAGCGATAACTTAAGACCTAGTTCAAATGGATTCGTAAAAGATGTGCCATCCAGCACCATGAGGCAGAACCCTGGCGACTCTGTGGTCCAAAAAAGAGGCTTTTTGATCAGAATAGCACCTGTACGGTCCAAACCTTCAGTCGAGCCATATAGACTCTTAAGTTCAATGGGTACGCTGGAACCGCATGCAATCGCCTCATGTTTCACCGAGGTTGGGTTGCCTGCCTGCTTTAACGCGATTTTCTTTTCAAAATTGAACATCAAGTTCTCTTCAGTCAGACCGCGCAAGGTCCAACATGAATTGGTCTCCGTGGCTTCAGATACATTTGTAACCAAACGAAGATACGCTGCTGAAAGAGCAGCGGCCAGCGAATCGCTCCCCGAGAAGCGACGGAGCGCACGCACTCCGTCTGTGTCAACGGTAATGTCCGGAATATTGCCTAGGTGTGGCGTGACGAGGTTCCTCCCGGTGGCCACAAGCGCCAGTGTGCGAAGGGCGAATCGAGATGCTACGATGCAATGGATCTCTCTAACCACTTGCCAGTCCTCGCGGAGATAGGTACTGAATAGAACCCGAGCACGGACAGGATGATCGGCAAGAGCATTTGGGGAGTGCGGCCGGTCAGTCCACATCGCCTCTAGTTGGTAGATGGCGTTCATGGTGACTGTGACGCTTTCCACATCGTCCATCAACTGCAACAGCACGGAACAAGTGTCGTGTAAACTCGAGCTCGACTCACCCAGCGATTCTAGCGCCTTTTGAATCTGGGACGCATCTTCCGGGATAGATAATATGTGGAAAGAGAAATGAACCATGTCTGAGTGACGAATGGTGGCATGTTGTCTCCAAGGAGGCAGATGACTACTGCTTTGTGAGTATCGTAAATATGGGTGAGGTTCCTCATGAAATACAATATCAGAACGGCCTTCGAGGTCTTCCGATCGAAGATCGGCAAAGCCATTGACTTGCGAATCTCTCGGGGCCGGGTCTAGAGACAAACTATGAGTCCGTCTGGTGATAGACCGGAGACTTGTTAGCGTCGCAGTATCTGACCTCGGGTCAGCGCGAGGCGGGCACTCTGGGTAAATAGACGCAGGCGTCTCGTCCCGCCAAACGTCATCGCGGCCACTGAGACAGCGGAGGATGTTTGGCCGAAAGATATCCCGCGCCCAATCACATATGTGATCGACAATAAGCAACATCTGCAGGGCATCATCAAGTGAAAGCATGCATCCGTGCCATAAGTCGATGATTCTCTGCAGCACCATCCAATCAGTTCAAGCACCAAATAGTCCATGGATCGTAGGCACGAACATATCTTGTCCCATCGACAATGCACGCATACACTCGCCATTCATCCCCTTGGTTAGCCATGAACCATACCAACGGACTGATGGAAACCTGGTTCACTTGTTGTAGATCTTGCTGGAGCTTCAGCAACGTTCTCAGAGGGAATGCGCTCTGTCGTTCAACCGACTCAAACCCGGGGCTGCCTTTCTCCGATTTCGCTTCAATTAGAACAAAGGGATATGACACAAGGCCATCCGTAAAGGGGCTGTGTCTCAGCGACTGAGATCTGGGTAGCAGTTGTTTCAGGCTGGCGGTATGCTCCAGGCCGATGATGCGATCCGGTTTTCGCGGGGAAACACCTTGTTCAAGGAGTCGGCGATCCTCACTGTGATATAGGAAGAGTGTTCCCGACCGATCTGAAAACAAATGATTAGAACCTGCATCATGACTGCTGGCTGTTAGTGTCGACATCATTATCCCTCCCCCTATGATATCAATAGGATCCCGGCCAGTTACGTACATATCAACTAACATCCTCTCCTCGTTGCTGCAAGTGCATGGTAACCTTTTCGCGCGTCTTTCCCGTAAATCTTCAGCTGCTACGGCCCACTCGGTTTGCACAGCCTGGAAGTCCGCTTCCCAGAACCGCTTGCGGCATTTCCGACTGGGTCATCCACCCTTAGCCACGCCTCGTACGAGCAACAGACAAAGTCACAGGCTATTCCTGGGTTCACTCACCATACAACCTCAGCCTTGAACCTGGAGGTAATAAAATTCTCGGTCGACGACCTCCATGTGTCTTCATTGACCCGTTGCCTACGACACCGATACGCCTCGCTACGGAGCTTGGCGGCCTCTTGCTTGATATGCATAACGGTGGACAAGACCGTCAATCGGTGATCTAATCTGCTGTCTCTCCCATAATCATCATAGGTCACTTGTTTAATCTGGCGGACCTTGGCAAAGTTCTCTCTGTACTGAATAGGCCAGTCACGCGGAAGTAAGGGACCATCAAAAGAGATCCCATATTCATCCATCAGGCGCTGCTGTTCCTCAGGTCGGAGAGATTTCTTTCCGCGAGACGCCATTGTTTAAGATACCGTGTTGATAGAGATGTGTTCTCGCCGTTTTGCTGCCTTTGGTCTCCTGTATGCAGCTAGGAAGCGCAACGAGCCGATTTATCACCTGGTCGAATTAGCACTCACGTGACCAACCAGGCTGAGGCAGAGTGCGCCTGAAACAGGGCAGACATCGCACAGGCTAACTAGATTAGAGGCAAAAAAGCAAGTCGGCCGCTAATTGTGCTTGGAGCGATCAGAGATGAGTATGAAACAAGAAGAGTCCCATCAGGGTTATCCATGGATCTCTTTCCACCTGGTTCGGCTTTAGTCTGTCCATAAAGAAATTGTGACTGGGGAAATGTGATCCATGATCTTAAAAGACATCTTCCTGCTTTGGTTATTTCAATAACATGAATAAACTATCTAGAAGCTGCATGGTGAGCGTCAGTTAGGGAAGCATGTTTGCTGTGCGATATGCAGAAAAAAAGGATGTCTTGAGGAACAGCGTCATGTACAGTGCTTGATAATTCTTTTAGCTTACATTAAGCATAGTAATTCGCCAAGTATGGTTCATTAGACGAGGATTGGTGGCATTCTTTAGGATCTCTGGCATATGGTTCCAAGGATCCTGTTCCAATGTGAACATAGTAAGCTTAAGTGCCTCCATTAATTCACTTGAACAGGATTCAAAATAGCATGACATATAATGAGCATGAAAAGCATTGGCATTAGGAAACGCATAATAGCCCTCGCCGTCAACGGCATCACCAGGGTATCTCATTTCCTGTGAGGCTTCAATGGGACCGTTAGCCTGACCCTCCTGGGTAGTAATTTGTTACTTGGATAATACTCACGTTGCCAGGCCTTCCACCAAATCTCATCAAATGCCTCCATGTCCCGCCACCGTTCCCCCTTCTGTTCAAATTTCCGAGCACGTATCTGCTCCTCTGTCCGATCTAGCTGAGGAAGTGCTTTTATTGCTTCTACCAGCTTTAGAATAGCAGGCTGATACTGCGGCATCTCAATACCAGTATCCCATAATAACCATGAAATGCGCTCGCCTTTATCAACACTATCACCCTGGCGGGTTTCATGGCAAAGGGACATTAAACGCCGAGCAGCGTCATCAGCTTTAAATTCATGAGAAGTCCCATAGCACTCGACGAATTTCCTAAGCACCTGGATCTCCTCTAATGTTGGTTGGG